ATAAGTAGTATACCGCCTTTTTTAAACTCTAAAATAATAATTTAATTATTTAAAAGGGTAGATTATAGTATTACGATACCCTAATAACTATATTTTATAATATTTTTTAATAACGAAAGGAATTTCTTTTTTTTCTTTTTAAATAATAAATAAAGCTCGGTAAATTATTTTAATTTATTAAATATAAAATTTATATATCCGGAATTATAATATATATAATTTTTAAATATTTCGATAGTTTATTAGATTTTAGGGGTATTTATTAAAGAAAGTATTATTTTTAGGGGCCGAAACGAAAATCCAATTAATTATTATTATAGTAAGTAAGGAATAATATATTAATAAAGTTATTAAATAATATTAAAGTATTATAAGTAAATTAGTTTTTCGAAAACTTAATATTAATAACGTTATTAATATAGCCTTAAAGAATCCTTATTAATAAATTAATATTTTATTATTTTTTTTATTTATTCGTTTATATTTTTTTTTTATATTTTTAATCCTTTAAAACTTTATTAAAGTTATATTATTAATAAACTTTATTTTTTAAATAGTAACGATTATAATTTATATAATATTAATTACTTTTCTTTAAACCTTTAATATATTAATCGTACTTTTTCGTCGAGGTTAATAATATAGTAAGTAAAGGTATAATTACGGTTAAAGCTTTAATAATTTCGATAATAATTTTAAAGTAAACCGGCGTAATTTCTTTTATAATAACTTTAGCGTTATATTTTTAATAAAAAAATAATTAAATTATAATATTATTTTTTATTTTCTTTATTAGCCGGTCATATAAATCGGGGTATATAATTTTAATACCGTTTAAGGTAGCTTAAAAGTAAACTACGTAACTAATTTTAATTTCTATTATATTAAAATAACGGCGAAGGACCTCGAGCCGGTTAAAGTAAATTTAAAATAAAATAAAATTAATATATTTAAAAATAAAATATTTTTTTAAAAATATATTAATAATATTAAAAGTATTACGTTATAGGGCTTAAATAATTTTTTAATATAAATTATAAATATTAATATCGTTAGCCTTCTAACTTAAATTAAAAATTTATTATTAAATTTCAAGCTTTTTAACGGAAATTATTATTAAGTTTTAAATATTTAAGTTATTAATATATTATTAATCGAAAGTAAATATCTTTTTTTCTATTAATAACTATATATTAACTTTAATATAATCCTTTAAACTATAATATATAAAGAACTAAGTTAATTAAAATTCTTAACTAAAAAAATCGGTTTTTAAGTTTAGAGCCGGTAAAGTTTAAAAGGTTTATTATTTAACCGTAACGACGGTATTAATATTCCCTATAGCTTTTATAAGCTCTAAGAGCTAGGCTATAGTAACGTTAATATTAATTATTTTAAAAGAAAAATTAATTAAAGAGAAGTCGTAAGAAAAACGCTATAAAAAAAATATCGAAAGAAAGACTTAAAGAAAGGCGCTACCTAACTTTGTGGCCGCTAATAGTGGGTTAAATTAACTTAGGTAGAGGGCGAGATACTTGCTCCACTATCGGTCTCCTGATAAGGCAGGATAGAGTTCTCGACTGTTGCCGGAAAATAGTAATTTCTTAGTCAAAAGGTCGTAAAAATGGCAGAACCAAAGAAACTTAGCCAGGAGAAGGTTGGCGCCGTAAACCACATTCTTATCGGTGAGGGGTGGTCGGTCGCTTTAACTCTTCGTTAAGATGAGGGTCAGGGTTAAAACCAGGCTTCCGTTGATTGGGAAGTTAGTTAACTCTCTTAACGCCTCTAAAATCGCCGTCGAAAGGTCCAATTGCGTAATATTGGCCTGACAAGGGTCGAAAAGTCGTAAGGTCCGGTGTGGTATTCGGCCTTGCGAGGTCGGGTTGTCGACGAGGGCGTCGACTTCGGTTTGCTTGGTGATTTAAGCGTCAAAAGAGCTCATAACCTGTTGGGCTGGCGACCTAGGAAAGTCACTGGCGGCGAAAATGAGGCCAAAAAAATGGTAAGCAAATTGGTATTACAGTAGTTGGTTGTTTTAAAAGTAAAACAGTAAGAAAATCCAGCCCCAAGAGCAAACCGGTGTGGGTCTGGGAAAACCTGGGCCCTTTGGTGCCCCACATCTTCTCCTGGTTTGAGGTAGGTGCACACCCAGTCCTCCGTAGAAACCCCCTAGAACTAACACCTGATCAAAAACAGACTCACTACGGCGAGAACAAGCCCGGCAACTCCATCAACGAGATTAACGGCCTATCCGCCGACATCAACATGGGCTTTGGAGGCGAGTACGTCTGGCTCGTCCCCAAGCGCGCGCCTAGGCCCAAGATGATGGTCGACAATTTCTGGACCGACATCCGCGGCAGCGCCGACGGCAACCGCAATGACGACCTGGCCAAGGGTGCCGGCGGCGACTACCGCTACTTCTCGTGGTCCAACAATATGGATGCCACTCAGTGAGTTGTTTCGAATCCTGGGAGCCCGTGCTTGTTTTCCTGGATAGTAGCTAACGACTCTCCTTTCTTTTTTCACCAGCTATGTTACCGATGTTGCTCTTTGGAGAACCGGCGACGCTCAGCACAGCCCCACGGATGGCTGGGACAGCATGACGGGTGACATCAACAAGGGTCGTGGCGGCGACTATCTGTACCTGGTGTGGCGCAAGAAGCAGTACTGCGGACCCAAGGGTTTCTAGGTGCCTAGTTCTGGTACTCTGTGCTTTGAGGTGGAAAGCGATTTAGTGTGCTACCTCGGTAGCAACATCGTCCATAGTTTCACGGACTAGCCGTGACTGAATTACCTATCCATCTGCGTGAACTGCATCCTACCCTGATACTCTCTGCTCATTGGTGGTCAGGGTCTGACTATATCCGCGTCTGTCTGCGCACATTACTTGTGTTAGGCTGGTGACCTAGGCAAGTCACTGGCTGCGAAAGTGAGGCCAAAATGGCCAAAATAGTAGACAAATTGGTGATACAGTAATCAGTTGTTGGTTATTCAGTCTAAAAGTAAACAAAAAGGAAACCCGACCTTGAAAGCAAATAGGTGACCGTGTGGGGACATGGTAAGTCGTCTGTTACCTCCCCCTCTTGATCAGCGATAATAACCAAGTCCTATTTCAGCTCCGTCTGTAGGCGCCAGGCATCGTCAAATAAGGAGGGCAGTCGCGCTATCAAGTTGATAGGCTGGACGCAGAATTCTGACGAGGTCCCTGGTGGTTTACCAGTCAGTGGTACTATCCAAAATCCTGGGGGGCCGCAGCTACCCCTGATGCAACTTGCTTAAGAATTGCAGCACTTTCGTCGAGTCCACATCTCTGAACCGGCCGAACCTGTCTGCGACATGGACGAAGCTCTGTCTAGGCTAGCAGCGGATAGCACCGATGCGGCTGCCAATGCTTTTATCGGTCTGCATCATTTTATTGCATGGGAGGAAGACCCAGAGCGCCTTGGAGGTCCCCGTGAAGCGAAACGTTGCCTCCAAACAGTTGTCAATTCAGGTATCCAATACCTTAACTTGCCGTGTCCAGAGCATTAGGATTATCACTAATGTCTTATTTATGGCAGATCCCTCTGTTGCTGATTATTGGTACTTGTTAGGCAGGGCACACATGGCCATGAATGATTACCGTGGAAGCTATGAGAGCCTACAGCAAGCTGTTCGTCGCAAACCACGGGCCCCTGAAATCTGGGTAACTGTTGGAATATTATATTACAATATTGAGCAATATAGAGACTCCCTGGACGCTATTTCACGGTCGGTAAACCGCAACCCTTCTTTGTGGTTAAACTGGCATAACTTAGGAGTTCTGGTGCGTAAATTCCCCAAGTGTGTTCACATGCTTTTCTGCTGACCTTGTTTCTTTGCGATCAGTACGACCAGTGTAATCAGCAGCGTGATGCGATGGAAGGTTTCGAAAGATGCCTTGAGCTACGTCCGGATCTTCCCACTGTACAGGCGAGGTACCGACTACTCAAACAGCACTTTGAAAAGTCTGCAACGATGCCTCCCGCCGAGCATAAAATTTACAAGATGAAAGATAGTGACCTCAAACCTACCATGCAGGAATACAATGAGCCGCATGGTGATGATGTGATCATCAGACCCATAGTCGAATCCGGGGAGCTAGACTCCGAAGCACAGATCGGGGATGAGGATTCTGCGTCCGATACTACTGAGGATAGTATGTGAGAAATCAGTCATGCCGAAAGAGCAAGTGATGGTGAAGTGGTGGGTGAGTGTACCATGCCCGGCTAGAAAGCAAAGCGGAGCCCTACATGGTGTCAGCCCTGCACATATAAACCCCCTGACATGGTCAATCAAAGCTCTTTGCTTTTCTTTCCCCTTTAGCCTAGCTTTAGTTAACCAGGTGTGATATTACATTAGCTTTGACTCAGTGAACCAACCGACCGTGACACAACGAGCCTAATGTCTATGCGTGGGTTGATGGCTGTTTCGATTCTCTTTATCTACCTTGCGTACTCATTGTCACGAATAGCCAACAAGAAAACACAAGGCACGCGGCCGTATTCCGGCCGGGGATACACCCAAGCCAATTATCTATACATAGAACAAGACTAATTACCTAGGCAGTGCCACGCAACAAAACACTGCTTACATACACACTCATCTACGCATATTAGACCACCGTCTCACAAGCTCCCACTGCTCCTTGTGATTCAAGACATCCCCGCTGATCAAGTCTGCCTGAGCAATGACGACCGTTTGTGGCGGATGGTAAAGCACATCGCAAACATGTCTTTCAAAACGGGGACGATGATACAGCAGCCGAACCATACCCGGTCTTCCGCTGTTGGAAAAGCCAAGTGGATGAATGAAAGGGTGGATATATCTAGGCCGATCAGTTGAGGTTTGCAAGGTGGCAAAGTGCTCAAAGTTCCTGAAGAGATGGGGATAGGGGATATATCCTGGGGATCCCCCTGTAATATGGTTAGACTCGGAGGGGGCAACGCGGAGCTGGTCTTGAACAATCGAGGCCGGGATGTGCAAGTATAGGGAATGGTCAGCAAGGTGCGAGCAGTGGTACTAAACAGAAGAGTTAGAAAGCATGTCGAAAGCATTGCGTGGGCGACTTTTTACCACTTGTCCAATGTCAATGAGCTCACGCCATTGAGTCTTTTGCATTAACTCAGGCCCATGCAGCCAGATACAACCAATTGGCCACTTATACTCATCAAAGCTGTTGGCAACGATAGCATAAGTTCTTGTTGAGTCAGATACCAGGAAATTATTGACGGGGGTTGGGCCCTCGCCAGCGAGGTTGTCGTTGGTGTTGTCCATCCTGTAAAGAATATTTAAAGATGTCTCGAGATAGAGCTGAATAAGGATCGGCTGGCCGCAGCAAAACCCGGTGGGGGTACAGGTTAGATATGCTATAGATTGATTTGTACGACTAGTATTGGAGAAGAACTTTTCACTTCATTATATACTCTCCTCCCCTTCAGCCAGCTCCACCCACATGGTCTTGTCATGGCGCCTTTTCCACATGAGCTACAACATGCCAGACATGTAAACCCCTAGCGCAATAACCACATGGTTCAGAAAGAGTCTTCCAGACAAAACCATCTGGGTGTCAGGCGCTCTCTCGAATTCCCTGCTCAAAACACAAAGCATTGTTCCTACACAAACCCCAGTCAACAAGCAGCAAAGCTAGCAATACAACTGAATGCCGAATCCGAAACCGAGCTCGAGCTACTTCCAAGAAGGGCGCGGCATAATACTTTGCAGTTCGAAGAACATCCAGAAGAATGACCTGTCGGCTTTCTCAACCCTCAACAGTAGATAGGTTCGGGGGTCCTGGTAGCCAGGAGGCTCAGAGTCGGGCTCAGGGGCATGTCATGGTCCGTGCACAAGGACAAAACAATGGAACAGAGGCAGGGGACCAACTTGCTTTGTCCTTCTAAGACTCTTCAACCTAATCTAGTTTCATGTTAATTTACGATGCTCGTCCCATCTCATCCGCCAGTCCTGTGATGAAGTCAATTTCTGAACTAACCAGCATCCAATCATCCAAACAGCATCAGTGGTTTAGTGGTAAAATCCATCGTTGCCATCGATGGGCCCCGTGTTCGATTCACGGCTGATGCATGCGTTTTGCTGGATCATCAAAAAATAGCCTTCTTCTCAGGCGATAATTGGTTTTTTTCTTGCTAATAAACTATTATTCGCCCATCAGAATTCGCCATGAGGTAGCTACAGTCGTCCAAGACAAAGTCGCACCACCAAAACCCGCAACCGCTACCTTTTCCCCATAGTCAATGATACCACAACAGCCTCGCATGCTCATCGTTACACCAAACATACCTCCCACCCCTTCATTTCAACCTTCTCACTCATTCAACACCCCCGCTCTAAGCGGCACCAACCCCCAAACCCTCCAAAACTCCCTCGAGTCATAACACCTCCCCAGCATTTCCATCCCCCTCGGCAGCGCCCTCACTCCCTCCTCTTCCATCAACTCCCTCACCCACCTCCCCTGCTCCCTCACCTCACCACCCTCTCCCTCTGCCCACCCTGCCAACAGCGCCCACCAATCATAAACAAAGCCATCAGTCAACATCCACCTCTCCCCCTTACCCCCTCCATTCTCCCACTTGTCCTCATTAGTGACAATCTTGACCACCGCCCGGGCAATATCGTCCCCATGAATCATATGCAGGCTTGTCTTCCACTTGATCGCCTCCTTGGTAGCAGCCACTCTCCCAATCCAATTAACTGGCTTCCTCTCCCCTCCCCACAGCCCACTCAAGTTGAGCACGCACCCTCCCAATTCAAGAAGCTCCTTCTCAGCGATCACCCTGGGGTTGGCCTCATTAATAGGGGAATGCCGATTCACCCAGGGATCACCTCCCCTCTTCTCCGCCAACTCCCTCTCCACCCTCTCCTTATCCGCCGCAGCAGTAGTGCGACCCGCACCCCAAATACCCGTTGAGCCAAGCTGGATGAACCGGGCTTTTTGAGAGGCGGAAGAGTGGGATTGATGTGTGGAATTGTACATCTCGATCAATGTCTTGGAGGGGCCATTGCCGGTGAGGGGGAAAGTGATCAGGACGTATTTCGCTGCTGGGAGGGCGGCAATCGCGGAGCGGAGCTCCTCTTCTGGTGTGTTGGCGGGGTCGAACTTGAAGCGGATTGTCGGGACGCCCGAGACGGTTCGGCCGGTTGTGGTGGTGGCGGCGAAGGGGATGGAGGAGGTGGTGAGGAGGGGGATAAGGAAGGTGGATGTCCAGCCTGCGCCGAGGATGAGGACGGTGAGCTGTCCCATTGTTGTGGTGAGGTTGTGAGAATTTGTTGACGATGAGTGAGCGATGACCTCAGCGGCTGAGTGTAGGCAGTGAGGTGGAATTGGAGGGTTGTCAAGCTGTCTTGAAGTACTCGAAGGGAAATTCTGAGAAGAAAATCCTTGATCGAAAGTATTTGAGTGCTTTCTGACGTTGATCGGTGGCTCTTGTATCGATTATGTGTCTGGAGCGGGAATGCAGCGATCGGGAGCATGGTGGGGGCCGCTGCAAAAGCTGGGCCGGGCGGGGAGGAGGTTGCGAAGTGGAGCTTTTAGGGTTAACAGCGGCAACCGTAAAATAAGCTGAGCCACGTATCGGCCGTATCGCTGGAATCATTGTAAAAAGCCAATGGAAGGAGCTCAGTGGTATTGAGCATACTCGAGCAGGAAACCGTTGTTGGCCGCCGCGGACCGAGGCGAAGGCAACTTCTACGGGTGCAACACACCTGATTCAAGGGTTAAGGCCGAAGCTGAAAGTAGGGCTTAGCGGAAACCCGAGACTTGGTCACAAAGAGCTTCTCAACAAATACACAAAGACATTTTGTCAGAATAATGATACCGCTCTCTACCACATTGTTGGGTGAGGGACAAAAAGACGGGGAAATAGGTACTTGGGAAGGAGCTCAACTACAATTAGATGGGCTGGACAGGCAAGACCTTAATCTGCCAACACCCGGCTTTACACTTCTGATGTCTTTACCTTGGTCATAAAAAAACCAGTGGTACCTGCACGTCACAGATCTATCTTCAGCAAAACCAATGGTTCAAAAACAACAGACCCACCAACCATGAACCCCCCTTGGCCCGTGCATACCCCTTAACCCCTGAATCCATTGTTGACGCTCTCTTAAAGTGACAACTCAGAATCGCCACAGCTTTGTCTTCATGATTCCCAGGCCACAAATTGTTGCAGGACGAGCCTAAGTCTGATGTTCAATCAAAGGTGCCCTTAGAAGCGAGTTGGGCGAATCTGAAGTAAAAGCCGTGGTCGTTACGGAGCTTGATCGTCGTCATATCTGGGAAAGTTTGCTTATATCTACGATCATTGAGATTTACACCCAATGATACGCCTTGCTCAATCGAGACTCGAAGAACATTGAAGCACCCAATGCTCTTGTGTTCTGTGATTGGGCACGGAACACAAGACGTCAAGTCGCTTCAACAAAGACTCCATAGCCGATGGCCCTGGGGCAGTTGTGTTTGTATTCGAAGCTGGAACATACCTGACGGCGTCTTCGTGAAATTGAACGAACAAAGCGTGAGGCAATATAGTTGAAGGCCTCATTCTGAAACAGCTACCAGAATACAGCTTGAAGACGAGTAGACCTACCGAGCGTTATATATGAAAACCAGTTGTCGTTCTGCTTTGGGTCAATAGTAATCTGCTCATTCATCGCAATCCCATTGCATGCTTAACATTCTCCGCTTTGTATAGAACATCATGTCCTTGCATCCATCTGCTAGTCATCTTCCGGACGGTAGACTTACTCCAGACTCGACGTCAACAGAAACAACGACTTCCACCCAACTTGGCCCAGTGGTAAGTATATGGCCATTACTACATATATTTCCGTAGAGGCGTGCGGTATTCTCGCTTTGCCGGATTGATTTGTGGTATCATGTTAACGTTGCCATGGTACCACTGCGAAGGCCTTAGCACCAAAAATCCCTTGAAATATATCTCGCGTTCAATTGTTCAACTGCAGCTCGACAATGCCCCTGGCAAGATGACCAAATACACGCGTATTTGGTCCTCCATCTGCAAGAATTTCTATCCCCACGACTTTAAGAATGAGGTTGAGAACATCTCCGACCTCACCGTTGATAAGCCCTTTTGCAGCTTTCCGCTTATAGTTGACAAGCCTGGCTTTGAACGCAAGAAGAAGCCCGGTTGTGTTCGAGTTCTTTGTCATTATGAAGGCTTGATAATCGACAAAAGTAAATTAGACGTCATCTATCATGACCCAATGCATCGAACCCCAAGCAGAAGGTTTGATCTGTTTTCAATATCGACAATCATTAATGAGCCTATGTTAGAAGAGGAAGAAAAACAGCCTATTGTCAGCCGGTGGCTCACGGGGACCTGAGACTTTGAGTGTAATATCCCCATCAACCCTAGCCTTTTCTTAGCCCACCGTGCTGGTCGCTTGGTGTGTTGGGGATATTGTCGAATAGCATGTCTTGTTTTTTTTGTTGTTATAGAGAAGTTAGCATTCAGGGTAAATAGATCTCATGCTCAAAAACACCACCCACGCCGTGTACAGAATAGTGGAGAGTGAAATGCGAAAGAAAGGCCTTAAAATATGAGTAACAGGCCCTGAGAACTTCGAATATAGTTGATAGACCTTAAGGGATACCTATTTAATGGGCGTCAAGAAATATCTTACACTCAAGGACTGATTACCTATGTACTGCCCCGCTAATCTACCCCATCCCAGACATCATCACCATAGCCCCTCCTTCTTAGCCACGCTTCCAACACTCCCCACCCCCCATCTACACAAAAGACTTCTCTCTTCTTGCCAACCTTCTTGCTGGCCCCTCTGAGCATAGAAGCCGCCATCTTTCCAGAGTCCCCATCCAAACAAACGACAAGTGTTTGTCTGTCATCATCTTCCTCTTGGTGATTCAACACACCAGTCTCTTTGAACGCGGCATTCATTTCCTTCCACCTCTCACAAACAGCCTGCGGATCCCCATAAAAGTCATCCTTTGTCACTGATAATGGAATATTCACCGCATTTCTCAGATGGGATTTGACAAACTCCGCTCTCGGTCTTACATCGATGACCTTCCCCATCGAAGAATACTGTGACTCAACACTGGTCGTGGTAGCGACACTGTACACCGATGATGATGGTGATGCCGTCGAGAATATCGTCGAGGCAGACTCCGAGACATAGGATACCGCACCTGGTGAACAGTCCCCGAATATCCCCTCAATTGGTTGCTGTTGCTGCCTGTATGTTCTTGATGTTCGCGTCGTTGTGCAGGCGCAAGAAGAGGGCACCATGCATAGCACCTCCCCATCATACTTCTCACCACCCTCCCCAACCAACATGTCGACTGTCTTCTCTGGCGCAAGGAACCATCTTTCGTCATAGGGGTCTTGGTCCACCTCTAACAAGCACTGTTCCCTTGTCAGTCATTACTCCTCTTCCCTTTTCTGGGTGCTACATACCTGATTTCTGATCCCCGGAAACTCCTCCTCCCCTAGCTTCTGATAATACAACTCCATATACTGATACGGCAAATCCGCACACAAAAACACACAGTTCACCTCCCCATTTTCATCCCTCTTCAGTCCGTCGGTACCATTTTCTCTCAGCCACTCCAGCAGTCCATGAAGTGCCTCCCCTGATGACGGCCCGCAGATAATCCCGTATCTACTCAGCCTCATACTCATCCTGAAGGAATCTTCCGACTTGACACTAACAAACTCGTCAATCGTCTCCCTCCACGGAAACGGGCTTGACTCAAACCCAGGGAAATGTCTCGGCCCTGGTGTTGGATCTCCAAAGACGTTGCAAACACCAACAACTTTGATATCAGACGACAAATGAGATTTGAGATATCGCCCTGTGCCGGTGATGCAACCCCCTGTCCCAATAGTAGAGCAGAGCACCGACAAAGAGTGGAGTTGCAGCGCAAGCTGAGGGGCGGTGTGGTTGTAGTGCGATTGCCAGTTCTGTCTCATTGTCAGTCCTGCCCAAACTCAACCAAAGCAAAGACCTTGACTCACAGCATCATTATCATACTGCCCCAAATAACACACCTCCTCCTCCTCCCTCGCCTTCCTCCTCAATCTCGCCATGATTCCTTTGGGGTCTGACGGCTCCTGTTGTGCCAACCCTCCATACAACGATCTATCCCTCTTGTCAGTTTCCTCCCCAAAACCACCACGGGCACCCTCAAGAAGGAAAACTTACATCCCCACCCCAAAGAACCTCAAAACCCTCAAGCTCTCCCTCGTCTTCTTATTCGTCACCCAAGCCTCAACCCCCTCATGACCCCACAACGCCCGCCCAATAACCCCCATGCTGAGCACCGTGCTCCCTGAACTCGCTTCAACAATCCGTTTGGCGGTGCGGGCTTTGGGTGAGGTTTTGAGCATTTCTAGGGCTGTCCCGAACAACACACGTCAGTGGGAATACTACCTATCAGGGATGCGAGAACGGGGTGAACAAACCAGGAAGAGACTTGACATTCTGCGCCGGCAGCGCCGTCAACATCTTTGCATAAATCCTCACGCCATCCTTGCGGAAGGGGTTCAACGCGGCAGGTAACTCGACCAGTGGCAACGGCGGGTTTTGCTCGGGGTCGAAGTAATGAGACAGCGAGTCCGGGCCGGAGAAGACGTTTAGGGGGTTGGGGTTTGTGTATGCCATGTTGAAGGCTTGTTAGGGAAAAGTACAAAATGGAATCCAAACAATAGTGATAGTGTGCAGGGTCTGGAAAGCAAGGTGAGCAAAGGTGAACTACCCAACTTTGAGCACCTCACAGATGTAAATAACTTCCCCTCCCTCTCCCGTCACCAAGCTACCCGGAACATGGCCTGTCTACTTCCTACCCACACACACCATTCCCAGCACTTGACACATGGGTTCCCATCACGCCGGAACATCACCCTCTGGGCAAGTCTTACCCCCTTGTCTCTCCCTCTCGGCAAGGTGATCACCCACGTCCTACCTACCAAGGTTCCTACCACCCATCCCGCAAGGTACCTACCCTAAATTCCCCTGCCGGGGAATCAAACATTTTACTCCCGCAAACTTGCTCTGATCTTGCGCACCTTGGTAAACATGATCGATCCCCGGCCGCGGTGTAATGTCGCCATTGAACAGCATGCCGAACATCCTGCGCACCTTGTCGACCTTCCCCCAGTGCAATGTCACCGAAACACAGGTGATCAGCGGGGCCACCCACACCCCCAGTCTCATTCAAAGAGAAACGTGGAGCAGCAACCGCGCAGGTGTGTTTACCACTCGCTGTGGGAATTCCCTTTCATGTAGGTACCTACCATGTACCAACCCCCAAATGGACACCTGTCAACATCACAAAACCCCCATATTTCACATCCAGCCCGCTGTCAGTATTATTCTGCATGACACAACTTGCATAAAACCATCACAGTTCGTTTACACCCTCCCACGCTTTCCCGCCTACCTGGAACGTCTCTCCTACCCACTCCCGTTTTTATTTGACTTACCTAAGACAAGACTTTCTCCTCGGTCTTGTCCAACCCTCATCTACACACCACTCAACCATACCATACCTTTCCCGGGCCCGGCTGACTTCCTCCGAATCATCGTCTGCAGTGCGACATATTTTCCCCAGACTTTCACGGCCTATTAAAACCGGCCTGCAGAATTGCCCTGTTTCACGGCACCAACACCATCAACACAGGCCTACCACCTACCTTAGCACCGAGGTTCCTACGCTCAACATGACGTCCGCCAATCCTTGGGGCTACGCCTCCATCACCCTCTCCCCAGAAAGAACAGTACACGGTACTTACCCACCCTCTAACCTCCCTTCATTACCGATGTACCAATGCTTACTCCCCCGTCCAGCAACGATTTCCCTTTGCACCAATCTCACCACCAACCAAAAACCCACCAACAACACCATCCCAGAAACCTGGGCCTTGGACCTCACCTTCACACGCTCCGCAGCAGCTCAACCATCAACCCCCATCCAAATCAACCTCCAGCAGGCCACATCTCCCTGGAAGACTCTCCTCCAGCAAACCCTCTCACCCCCCACTCCCCTTCTCACCATCCGCTTCCTCTTCACCTCCACCCCCGGCTACATCACCCGCTCAGACCTCATCCCCCTCCGCTTCGAGTGCCTCCCCGGCCTCCTCTCCGCCCACACCTTCCTCACCCCCCTTCAGCACGTCACACCCATCACTCCCCAATCCCTCACCCCCAGCAACCTCCCCCAAATCCTCTCTTCTTCTCTCGGAGCCCTTGTACTGTCAAATGACTACAGCCCCGCGGTCCTCAACAAAGAGACAAACAACAGATTGGGATTGCCCTTCCTCCTCCCCTCACCCCCCACCCGAAAAAGAATCGCCTGGGTCCAAGGCCGCGAAGATATCGACTGCATCGAGCGAGCTCTAAACGCCGCTCAAGCGTTAGGTATCTCCCTCGTCATCATTGACGAAAAAGGTCATTGGTTGCAAGATCCGACTTCGCCGTGGGCACATCTAAGAGAGGACTTCATCGAGGCAGACGTCGCTCCCAATGAGGATTTTCCTCAACGGATTGTGGTTGCCGTGAGGGGATACCCCAAACCAATCAACGGCATCGTCACCATCAGCGACGTCCGCCTCGCCGGAGTAGCCAAGGCGTGCGAGATTTTGGGTCTGCCGACTGAGTCCCCCGAGGCGTATGAAATCGCCGCTGATAAAGGCCGGACAAGACTCCTCGAGACGGTAGGAACAGAGGAGAGTTTTGTCTTGAGGCATAAAGATGATCTCGAGGGGGTGTTGGCCCAAAACGTGGAACTGAAATTCCCAATGGTGGTCAAGCCCGTTATCGGATGGAGTTCAGATTGCGTGACCAAGGTCAAGAATGTGGATGAGTTGAGGGTTGCAGTCAAAAAAGCATCAGACAGACACGCCGACTCCCCAAAACCAAGCACAGCCGTGGTGGTAGAACCATACGTCGCCGGGCCAGAAGTAGACGCCAACTTTGTCATGCTCAACGGGGAGATCGTCTTTGCCGATATCAACGATGACTTCCCCAGCCCGGCAGACTCTGCCAATGCCGGCTTGAGGGAAAACTTCCAAGAGACGCAAAATGTCCTCCCCTCTGCCCTCCCCAAACACGAACTGGAGGCTCTCCAAGACCAACTCAGAGCAACGCTTGTCAGGCAGGGATTCAAATCCGGTGTCTTCCACTGCGAGGCCCGGGTGCGGAATTCGAGCGTCAAATACCAAGACGTTGGAAACGGGATCCTCGACTTGGTTCCGGCAAACAACCAAAATAATACAGACGGAGCCACAGACCCGGAAGTGTACCTCCACGAGGTCAACGCCCGACCACCGGGATACCTCGAGTCGGTAGCGGTGCAGCTGGCGCATGGCGTCGACTACTATGCGCTCCACATGTTGCTCGCGCTGGGTGATGCAGAGGAGGCTCGCTTCCGCGCGCTGTCGCACCCGTTCCGCAACGGCCCGCAGTTCCACCTCTCGGTTATGATCATTCAGCAGACGCGCAGAGGCATCATGAGGTCAGCTGACGCTGCCAAAGAGTTTCTGGAGAAACATCTTGATGTTCGGGAGAATGTGGTGGACTACTACACGCGCAAGAAGGGGGGTGATGTCCTCGAGGGTCCGGATGCGGCCTCGCTCTGGTGGATTGCCTTCTTCTCGGTTGTCTCTCGGACTTCGCGCAGGGATTTGTTGGAGAGGGTGGCTTTCATTGAAAAGAACTTTGACTATGAGTTCGACCCCCTTGATGATTAAAACTCGCTCATCCTGACAGGTGTCGGTGTGGCTGAAAGGCTAAACCTAAACATGGGCAAAGATAAGGTAACTCTTGAGTAGTGTGGATAGCGTCTTCATCGTAACCACAAAAGAAAGATCTGGACAATCGTTGAACTGCAACCCCCCCCCTGTCTGTCAGTGATGGTTATGCCAAGAAAACACTCACCCAGCCAGTCAGAAGCGAGCAGTTGTGAGCAGGTTTCGGGGGTTACATGCGCCACCAGTGAGCAAGTTTCGGCATCTGAGCAAATTTGCCGTATAATATCAATAAACAAGGGGCCCCGCAAGCATCAGCAGCAAGCCACAACATGCCGTGACTGAATCTTCCTGACTCGAGACCTCGACAGAAGTCCCAAGATGGGTAGCGAGGAGGTGCCAACTAAATTCCCCAGAAACCGGCATCGCGGGCTGCGACCCAAGCCGGTTGGTTCACATATCCCTGTGCTTTGGCGAGTGCTCGGGGCGGAAGCCGATACTAATACAACGTCGAGAATCCTGTGCTTCCATGCTGGGAGAACGTGTTGGGCCCGTAATCTTTTTGTCTGATCAAGTCGCCCTTTTCCCTGGCCTTGTGCCTTTCCAGCTGGCTCGCATCTCTCTTTCATGTCGGATTCGAGTCAAGGTCCTTCAGCAACGGTACCAAAATGAGAGGCCTTCTCACAGCAGCAGGGCTGGCGGCCCTCGCCGTCCCAGCACAAGCCCTTATTGGATACGGCATCACCATGTACGATCCCTCCTGCGGCTTCGGTTGCTACGACTCGGTCTCGGGTTTCATGCTGGAGTGCTCGGTGATGGACCATGGACCGGTGGGCGCTCACAGTCACGGTGCTGGAGGCCCAACATCACCAGAATGCCGCGCCGGGGACGATTATTTCCTGACGACACTGGCATACTGCATGAACACCACCTGCGATGCCTCGACCCCAAGATGGAAGTTGGAGAAATTTTGGTCCGAGCAGGCCACCGGCAGCAAGACGGTTGCGGCGAAGTGGTCATACACCGAAGCTCTGGCGCAAATCAAGGAGCCCCCCACAGACCAGTATGGCGAGGATGATCATCACCTCACCCGAACAGTGCTCTTGGATCCCGAAACCGTCAAGGCCAACACCTTGACTCGAGAATACTTTGAGCAAGCCGAGACGATCCACTCTCAATATGGGTAGGTAAAATCCGCAGGCCGCGATGGTAAAATCCGCAGGCCGCGATGCCGTCCACGCCACTGACACCGACGCCTCTAGACTCATTCTCTTGATCGTTGGCTTTGGCACACCAGTGGTCATCTCCATGTTCACCAGGCTGCCATACATGAGCACCCTGTCAGACAAGCTGAAGCCATACCTGGTCTATCCCTCGCTCATCGGAACATACCACGTACGGCCCCTGCCCTACCTCCTCGGAAACGCTGCAACAGTCGGCCAGTCGCTGTACGTCATCATGTTTGCGGCGCTGAACATCGCCATGGCGGCAGCAGGCTACAAGTCTGTTCAGCCCAACGCTTGGTTCGCGAACGAATGGCAGGAAGTAATGGGATACTTTTCCGCCAGAACCGGTGTCCTAGCTTTTGCTTTGACGCCTCTTGTCATCCTGCTTTCTGGCCGCAACAACATTCTCCTCTGGGCGACCAACTGGTCTCACTCGACCTTTATGGTCCTCCACCGGTGGGTGGCCCGGATCTACGCTGCCCAGGTCATCATCCACTCGGTTGCTGAATTGGTCTTGTACATCGACATGGAATCCTACGAAGCCGAATTCAAGACGGAGTACTGGGCCTGGGGTATTGTGGCCACAGTCTTTGCCTGTGCCATGTTGGTCTTTAGCTCGCTCTTCTTCAGACGGTGGTCGTACGAGTTGTTCCTCGTTGGTCACATCATCATGGCCGTCTTTGTGATTGTCGGCAGCTGGTACCACGTCGAGTTCTTGTTCCAGCGCAGGTGGGGATACGAGTTTTGGCTGTATGCCGCCTGCGCTGTCTGGTTCTTTGACCGTATGATCCGGGTCTTCCGCGTTCTCAAGAACGGCCCCAGACGGGCGGTTGTCACAGAAGTGTCTGAGGATATTGTGCGGGTTGATGTCAAGGGCATCCGGTGGACAGCTGCGCCTGGTCTTCACACCTATGCCTACTTTCCAGCCCTGAGCCCATGGAGACCATGGGAGAACCACCCGTTCTCCATCCTGCCCACGGCTCTTCTCCAGTCCAAGCGGGATGCTTCCTTGTCCGGAGCTGCTTCGGGCAGTGACACGCGGAGCACCGCTGATGTCGAGAAATCAGGCGGCGTCACCAGCACCAGCGCACCGCAAAGAGACGACCAAGCACTTGGCGGGGCTCCTGGAACGGGCATCACACTCTACGTCCGCAAGTCCAAAGGTTTGACCAAGCTGCTTGCCAACCACAACTCCCTCCTCACACTCTTGGACGGTCCATACCCAGACAACCCGACAGATGGGGTGCTCAAATCGGACAGACTCCTGCTGATCGCCGGAGGAGTCGGAATCACGGGTGTGCTGCCGTACATTGCGAGGCACACCAACGTCAAGATTTGCTGGAGCGTCAAGGCTTCGGCCGAGGGCTTGGTGCGGGACCTGGAGGGTCCGTTGTCCAGAGTGGCTGAGAAGGACGTCAGAGTTGGCAGCAGACTGGACGTGGCGGCGCTGTTGGCCGAGGAGGAGCGGACGGGGTGGAGCAGAGTCGGAGTGGTCGTGTGTGGGCCCGGGGGACTTTGCGACGACACTCGGGCGTTGGTGACAGCCAAGGCGCGGACCGGGCCGACTGTCTGGGAGCTTGAGGTGGACGCGTTCTCTTGGTAGGCTCGGCAATGGTGGCCTTTGCGGAGGGCGTGTTCCGTGGTTTCTGTATATGCATTTCAAAAATGTCATAATGTTGTTTACATGACTGTTCGATTCCTTTCGATAACTCGCTTGTGCCAGTGAATAGAGTGCTTTCCCTTGGCAGAGATGTTGTTGGAATCGCGATGTTGAAGTTGGACGTTGAAATTGAATTGTGGGGGCCCAAGAGAGAGCGGCAGATGGAGGGGTGCTTAGCCACAGTCTGCCTACACTTCTAACTTCACTTGTTCTCGCTGAAAACTGGTGGGCGACGACAGGGGTCTAACTTTCTCAACTTGCTCATCAACGGACATGGAAATGCCGTGATTCTTCCTTCGTCTTCTGCATGTCTTCGGCTGCTCATCTCTTCAGCGAGTATTTGAGCAAGTTTCGCTGAGCACCCCCGGAACCCCCAAAGATGCCAAGAGTCCAGGCCTGGTCACGTTGCAGGGACGCGCTGCATCTCGCATTACCAGGATCTCGATTGGCTCAACGATCTTGGAGTCGACACCTTGAGGGTTAGCACGTTGAGGGTTACTGGAGTGGGTGGCCCATCATGGCTACCTACGTACACCGACCGCCCTTTGTGGGTTCGCCCTCTGTAATGTTGGCAGTGGTGAGGGGAGCTTCTGTCTGATATCTCAGTGTGTAGCAAGCAACATCAATACCTTACCTGATACCAACCACACCTCAATATGGATTCGGAGTATGTGTTGTCCCTATTCATCTCACCGAAACGCACTGACTGACTCTTGGCAGAAAACAACCCCCAATTGCTGTTCAGGAGACTGGAAAGCCAGTATTCCAGGCCGATGACTTGGAGAAACAGCCACCAACAGAAGATCCCATTGAGACATCAAAGTCGGACACAACGCAGGATGACAGCATTTTCCCTCGAGATGCCACTGAAGACGAGATAGCAACACTGCCCAAAATCACCGACAAGATCCCGTTTGCCGCCTGGGCTGTCATTGTTGCTGGAGCCGGTGAACGCTTTACATACTTTGGTCTCATTGCACCATGGCGTAAGTCTTTAAAGTCTCACAGACGCACCACACAAAGCTGACAAAGGCCCAGAAAACTACATGCAATACCCTCAAGGCAAAGAACCGGTCCCGGGAGCTCTTGGACTGGGTCAAGCAACAGCCGTCAACATCTCCAATGCTTTTTTTCTGTTCTCATTCCTGACACCAATGCTCTTTGCGTTGATATCCGACATATGGCTAGGTAGATACAAAACTCTACTTTTGGGTCTAGTGTATGTTGACGCTTCTTTGATTGGACGCCACAAAAAACCACCTTTGCTGACCTGAACCCAGATGCTATCTTGCAGGCTGTGTAGTCCTCATTAGCACTTCGATTCCTTCGGCTCTGGAACAAGGAGCAGGTGTTGGAGGGTTGGCTGCAGCACTGATCTTGACTGGGCTGGGAGCTGGCTCCGTCAAAGCAACCTATGTCCCCTTCCTGGGTGATCAGTACATGCAGGCCAAGCCTCAGGTGATCCGTCAGAAGAACGCCAACTTGGTGGTCGTGGATGGGCCGCGGACTCTGCAATTCATCTACAACGCTTATTACTGGTTAGTTCTGCCACTCTTCAGTTGCCCTTGCCACTTCATCTGACTCTCCCAGGTTCACCAACATTGCCTCCTTGAGTTCCATACCAGTCACCTTTATCGAGTGGCACCATGAGTTTTGGTCAGCGTACCTTCTGGCTACTGTTACACTTTGCATATCGATAGCTTTGTTTCTTTTGTGGTCCAAGAAGCTCGGTATGTTCATCTCTGACCTGAAACAACCGACATAAGCTGACAACAAAGATAGTCAAGGTCAAACCACAAGGCAATGTCTTGCCCAAGGCTGTAAGAGTCCTTGTCTGTGCTTCAAAGAACGGATTCAAGCTGGAGCACACAAAACCATCCTATCAAAAGACCCACCACGGCAAAGAGGTTCCATGGACAGATAGCTTTGTGGAAGAAATGCGCCGCGGCATGATTGCCTGCAGGGTGATGTATGTTTGACCCTCTGATCTCATGATCCAAATGTTAACACGAAGGCAGCTTCTTCCTCGTCATCTTCTACCTCTGCATCGCCCAAATGTACAACAACCTCGTCTCCCAAGCCGGCCAGATGCTTCTCTCCGGTGTCCCCAACGACATGATCCAAGCCTTCTCTGGTGTGGCTTGCATCATCTTTGGGCCAATCATGCAAGGCCTCTACGAGTTTCTCGCTCGCCGCAAGATTCCATTCGGCCCCATTGCTCGCATCACGACGTCGTTCATCTTCTGTGGAGCTTCCATGGCTTACGCTGCTGGAGTTCAGAAGTTGATCTATTCTACCGGGCCCTGCTATGACCATCCCTATAACTGCCCCGAGTCCGAAGGAGGTCGGCAGCCCAACAATGTCAGTGTGTGGGTGCAGCTGCCGGTCTACATCCTGCTTGCCATTGCGGAGATCTTGGGCTTTGTCACTGCATTTGAGTACGCCTACAGCAAGGCCCCAAGGGAGATGAAGACTGTTGTCCAAGCCTTGACGCAGCTCACTGCTGGAGTGGCCAGTCTTTTGGGGATGGCTATCAGCCCGGCGTCTAAGGATCCGAACATGGTGATTGTGTACTCGTGTCTGGCGGGAGCTATGGGGGTGTCTGCGGTGGCGTTCCTGTGGCGGTTCCGCCGCTATGACAAGATTGATGCGTCGTTGAATCAGTTCTAGTTCTCAACTTCTGCTTCAAGATGGCTAGAACTTTCTCGACACAATACATCCTGCTCTCTATACCTACACCTTCACATCGCGACTGTTATCCAACCTAATTCCGTTCCGGTATCTGTCAAGTACCACGATGAAGCCTATGACCAATGCCTAGAACCCCCACTGAACATTCTCGGGACCCAGCACTCCGTCAGTGATATTCGGTAAAGGTCGATGCAGACTGCAAGGAAACACGACGTACCCGAACAGCGGTAACTTGCTCATGCAACCTGTAACTTGCTCACCAGCGAGGGGCTGGCTTGGCTTCCCACCCTCCGAACAGGGGGGTCCGATCTGCAGTCCACCCCTCCTAGAAGTACCTCGCAGGTACCCGTCGTGATACCACCTGGCAGGTATGCACCTTGATGGCTGGCCGCAGAGGTGTTGACCATGGACTCCATTGATATACCAGATTTTCTCTCGTGATGTTCACTGTGACGACAACACACGTACAACACCTTGACTTGGCCAGCAGAATCTCAACCTCATCACTGATCCGATCACCTCGGCCCTTGACTCAGAAACGAGAATCAGCTGTGAAGCAGTTTCCCCCCCAACACCTCTCCATCACCACTCTCAATATCATCGCCACCATCACCACCACCAAAATGACCACCACAACCACCACCATCCCAACCCTCACAGCCCACACCCACGCCAAATCCCAATACACCACCACCTCCTCCCGCCTCGCCGCCCGCCTCTCAATCCACAACTACAACACGCACCCCCAATCCTGGTTCCAATTCGCCCAAACCTTCATCCCCAAAAGCGGCTCCATCCTTGAAGTCGGCGCCGGCACAGGCGCCCTCTGGTCCCCCCCCGCCATCTCCTCCCCCTCCCAACTCTCCTCAGTCACCTCCCTCACACTAACCGACTTCTCCCCCGCCATGGTAGCAACCCTCAACTCCAACCCTGACATCGCCGCCCTTAAATCCATCCTTCCCAACGTCAAAGTCCAGCAATGCGACGCCACTTCCCTCCCCTTTCCCGACTCTGAATTCGACACCGTCGTAGCAAACCACATGCTCTACCACGTCGACAGCCCGATCGCTGCTCTCCGAGAATTCAAACGTGTCCTCAAAAATGGGGGACGGCTAGTCGTGGCGTTGAACGGACTTGATCATCTCAAGGAACTTTTTGAGATTGGGGGGATGGTAGGGAGGGGGAGTACCATTGCTGGGTTGGCGAAGATAACTGCTGAGAATGCACTCGAGCAGATCGAGGGGGCAGGGTTTGAGGGGGTGGAGAGGGAGAGGTTTCCTGGGGAGTTTAGACTGCCGGGGGTGGAGCCCGTGTTGGAGTATTTGGATAGTGTTGGGGAGACGGACATGGAGGAGGGGAAGAGGGAAACAGTGAAAAGGGTTGTTGGGGAGAGGTTGGATGAGGGGGGTGTTTTCAGGGTGGAGAAGAATATGGTTGTTTTTGTTGGGAGGAAGCCGTAGGGGTTTGTGGTTGATGCGAGTTGTCATTCTCCGTCATTGATGTACCTATACCTAGACGCATCCAAAATACAACCTCAAACAACTTTTCCCTTTTTCCCAACGAACCACCCCGAATAAGACCTGCCCTGATGTCTTGTCTTCAAATTATTGCCGTCCACCATCACCTCCCTCTTCCATGAGTTGCACTCAAGGCTCACTCTCTTTGCGACCTGGGAACACTGATGCGGTGGACAAAGCTGGTGAGTTTACTCCATGTCTGGCGGAAGAAGGCTTTGGGCCTGCCAGATGGCCCACTGGGCGATGATGGCAGAGTCGATTTTAAGAGGGCGTCGCTGCTGCTGTTGCCAGGTGATATGCTTTCCAACTCAAGACCCCAATAAGGGGAGATGGGACGGGCGGTAAGGCTATAATCTGAATTCGTCGGTGCGGGGGAAGGATCATCCCGAATAGTGTACAGGGTCATGTTGGTTTGGTGACGGTTTCAGTGTCGATGTAAAGTACAATCTGGCAGACAGTAAGATTTATTTCACAGCTACCTACATATGGACCTTATATACCTTCAGTGGTCTTCCATGATGACCCTCGTTGTTGTTCTCAAAGCTGAGAGAAGGTCCTTGAATGTGACTAGTCAACCGCCGGCATTCTCTCCCAAACCATTTATGAGAACTGTTTCCCGTCATTTACCATCAGATAAGAGGACGGGTCTGCCTAATTAAGTCTCTCAACTCCTTGTCATCGAGAATAAAGCTCCAATCTAAGCTGGCCCAATAACCCTCTTGGGCGATGATGCTTCCCGTTCTGAGAAAGAAAGCATTTAAACCATGGACCCCATTGTTCCCCGACCTACTGCTCAACCGTCTCCGTTGGTTCATTTGGAAGTATAGTTGCAAAGAAAAGCGAGAACTCATCGTACCCATTCCAGTCCTCGTCCACGACGCGAGACGCAACACTTAAATGAACAGGGCAGTCGATATGATGCATCCATGGCTTTGATATTACCTTGGGAGTGATCGACGTCTGGACCATTGCCTGCTCAACTGGGGTCCGAGGCATGTTGGATGTCCATTCCAGACCTGAGCCGGCGCTACGTATGTGATCCCAACCTAACCTGGACGTGGACCTAGGGCGAAGCCAGAGTTCGGGAAGGATAACCTCGAGCGCAATCTGCGCCACACAGGGCACTGATCTATCAAAGGAGGTTCTGGAGCACCCAGTATTGCAATAATGACCACGGATGACATCTTGTCTTGGAAAGATCTCCGCCGGTCCAAAGTATCTTAAGAGAGATGGTCCCAAGTTAGATGGGCGATGCTTTACGATTCGAAGTTGGCGCGTGCTTTCAACAAGAGACCGTCGAAAGATCTTGAGCAGCTTCTCAATCAACCGGATGTCGACATCCAGATGGCGGATCTTCTGCACCTTCGCATGAATAGGAACGGGTATAGCCCTCTGGGCAAGGCGCCAAAGTGTCGCGCGGCGGTGGAGTTGAAGAACACGTAGAGAACTTGGTGAGGCCGATATCAGGTTGTTGAGGCATTTTGGGCAGTCGATGGTGTACAAGATTGCCTGATGGACTTTGTCGGGGAGGCCCTCGAAGGTAGGCATGGTGAATATGCTTGTCGTCGTTGCAAGGCTGTTGCAGAGAGTTCAAGGTGGTGATCGGAAGCGTGAAGAAGTTTTCATTTTTAAGATTGGGTTCTTTATAATTTGCCTACCACGGTAAGTTTGTCACACTTCAAGATTAGGTCGTGGGGAGACGGCCATCATTCTGTTGACTTTGAGCTAAGCTGCGTAGAATTTGATACATGGCGGGCTGAGTGTTAGTGAGTTGAGGCCTTCAAAGTTAGTTGAGAGGCTTTGGGCGAAGAGGGTGTGGTTGAAAGTGGGGTCTGAGCTTTACATGGGGTCTCAGCGCCGTGAGCTGGTCCAAGCTCCTTCGCGTCGGCAGCCATTGGAGCGCGGCGAAATTTATCCCAGAGCTTCAACATCGCAGTTCAGCAAAACACAAACAAACAACCCAACTACGGTCCACGACGAGAGGATCGATCAGTCTCCGAATCTCACCAAGCTAGGCATACCCATCCAAGATTCTATCTAAAATCACGACCCGTCATCGACTCCCGACCTCCCGTTTCCACTCTCGTCGCTTGACGACATGCAATCAACTCCCAGAACTCGGCGCACGCCGCAGAACACCCAATACACGTGCGACTCCCCATCTTGCTAGCTCACACCATGTTTCTCTTGATCTACATGCTAACTACTGGCACTCAGATATACACTAGGTCGCAGAATACACCATGTCAAGACATACCCAGTCCAGTCACCTCAGGGAGCCACAATCCTGCTCTACGGCCACGAAAATGGCGTCACCGTCGTTTGGCGCGGCGGTCGAAGGCTCAAACCCCAGACAGAGAACAAATCAAAAGAGAAGAGTAACGGTTCTACCTCCAATGCCATCATGATTATCGATTCCGACGAAGAAGATGTTCCCCCTCCTTTTGTCGACAAGCCCGAGTTCGAAGACAGCCCGACCTCGACGGCGACCTCCCCCCTCGCCGAAATCATACAGACATTGGATCTCGCCTTTGGCACCGCAGTCCTCAAAATTGCTGTTCTACCAATGCCAAACACCACGTCCGCCGAGGCAGCCTGGAATGGTGCCGACATTCTCAAACAAAAGATCATCTTCGCTGTGACTTGCGCCACGAGCGAGGTCTACCTGATTACTTTGCCTCTGACGCCACCATCCAACGAGAGCAAGGCGCGACCTGAGCTACGGGAAAGCCTGCTGGCAGAGAATGCAGGAAAGGGCGTGTGGGGAGAGACATTGACGCTGTTGGGGGGCCAGAGCCGGCCATGTGAAGGAGTCGCCATGACATTGGCCAAGTCGACGGCTGCATCGAGAAGCAGATCGGTGGAGTCCACGACAACACAGTCACAGACAAGACAATCTCCTCGCGTTATCGTCGCAGCCCACTCCCGAGAAGCAAGTGGCACTCTTCGCTTCTGGAACGTGCCCCTGGATGCCAAGCCTGGTGTCGTCAGTCGGCTGGAGTCGTTCCAAACAGAATACCTCCCATCACCACTTTCCAGCATCTCTTTTAATCCTACCCAGCTCACCCAGCTGTTGACCGTCGCCTCGACACATGCCGTGCGTATCTACGACTATTCGACACCGGCGCTTCCACTCGAGGATGCCTCTGAAGGTCCCTTCCCGATCCAGGGCTCGTGGCTGCTCTCGCTCTATCCCCCCTTCACCCGCAGCGCAACCATGTCGACTTCCCGGAAACCAATCGTAGCTGCCGAGTGGATCGCTCACGGACGCGCTGTTTTGACCTTGCTTGCAGATGGGCAATGGGGCATCTGGGATATTGAGGACGCGAGCCCAACGGCCACCAGTGCTAGTTCGGGTGGTCTGTTCAGCAAAGCCAGCGCCGGCCTTCGCGGTTCTGCCATCACCAACTTTAGCGTGACAGGCCACCTGGAGGGCACCAGCCCCTTGAAAAACCCCGCCACCCAAAAGTCACCAGCCGCCACTGGGTCATCTCGCGAATTTGTTCCCATGACGCCTCACACACGACGTGAAGCTCTTGCGTCCGCCAATGGAGGCCCCGAGAAGCTCGTTTGTGTACGGGGAGGCATCACCGTCACTCACTTGTCACCCGCCAAGGGAACAGCAACAGGCGATGAAACGGCGCTTCTCTGGCTTGGAGGCTCTGACCCACTTGTCTCGGTTGTTCCAAACGTTGCCAAATTCTGGGACTCGCAGCTGCGAAAAGCTGCTGGTGGCGGCAACCTCTGGAGTGGCACCCAGCTCACACGCATGGCCCGTCTGACGGATCTTGGTGCTGGTCTCCTCGGAGAGCGCTGCACAGGAGCCGCTGCCATCCCCAAGCCTGTCACTGCCAACAACTCTTCCGCGTCCGAAAACGGCACCCCCCCGGTCGAGGCTAGTCTCCCGGTTGAGGTGCTCATTCAAGGCGAGAGCCGCGTAGTGTTTGTTCACGAAAGCGAGGATGCTCCCTCTTTCGCCAGCCGTCTTCTAGGAGCTCGTAAGAAGGTTAGCGGCCGCACAGATCTCGAGCCAGCCAAGGCCATTCTCGCCTATCCCAGGCCTGAGAAGCCCAACAGCGTCGCTTTCAACCTCAGCATAGCCCACCGACCAGCAGCTGACAATGCGGCCTTGCTCCGGTCTGTCCGTCGACCCGCAGCAGCCGGTGGGCTATTTTCCCAGGATCAACCAAGAGGGGGCGATAGCTTGTTCCCGTCGGTTGAAGCCCCGGCTGTTCCTCCTCAGGGTGCGAGCCAGGCGATTGGGCTCCGGTTTATTAACGATCTGAACTTTGCGGCTGATCAGCCCGATGACGAGCAAGAGGCGATCAACAGGAACATTGAGGAGGAGATGATGGACATTATGGAGATTGACAGGGAGCTGGAGCAGATGGAGGATGAGAGGGAGCGGTCGACGAAGAGGGTCTTTTTCGAGGAGGGTTAGAAGCCTTTTTCGATGAGGAGGATGGGGGCGAAGGAGTGGTATGTTTTTTGTCTCTGTTCACAATGGTTTGATTTAACAAGTGTGTGTAGGGCCCAATGCGCGGAAGAATCAGACAACGAGTCCCCCTTGTTTCTGCTGTCAGCGAAGCGATCTGCGAAGCAGTCTCTCGAGGAGGGAGTGAGACGGGGCGAACGCCGGCGTCGGGTGTCGTTTGCCCAGGGAACCAAATATTGATAACGGACTTTTGAAACGATTTTATTGTACTGAGAGAGAGGGAAGAAGAAGAATGTAGGATACCCAATCAGCGAGGCAACATCGATTTTGATCATCAAGACAATGAAATGTTTGCCCTCTTTTTTTATTTTTTTTATTGTTCCTTCTTCTCTCCCTTTGTGTTTCTCCTCCCCTGTTTCTATTGTCTGTTACCACCCCTACCCAAATTCCGCACGGCTTGGTGGAGCACAAGGCGAGACCCATCCTTGATCCAGCTCTGTATTCCGAGCGGTAGAGCAACTGTTGGCCGAGAAGCTAAAGACGGATTTGCCTGGCCTACTAGATCCTTCCCACACGATGGCGAGGGGCAGTAAGGTTCGGGGTCTCGAGGTTTTTTGGTCCGCTGGCATCTATTACAACGCATTCGTTCAGAGTGTTCTGCCTTGGTTGGGCATGATGATGATCTGGGCTTTTGCCTGGGTTGTTGTCTGCTCTACCTGACTAAGGGGTTTAAGATGCTGGTACATTTACTTGCTTTGCGTCGATGTTGCCGTTCTTGATATGTGCCTGAAGTGACACGGCTGGTGCCGTGAGGAGCTATCACGATATGTTTGACCGAAGTGAAGAATGAACCCACTTTCCATTTGATGCATGCCCTTGCTCAGAACTTTTAAAAGAAAAAAACTCGTTACTCATCATACACACCCGCCCCCATCTTCCCTTCTCAACCGGGTATCACCACTTCTTCATTACAACTCGCCCGCAGCCCCCTTAGCCTTCCCCTCAGCCTCATAAGCCGCCCCCTTGGCCTTGCCCGCAACCTCGCTCGCCTTGCCCTGCGCCTGTCCGCTCAACTCCTGCGCCTTTCCCTGCGCCTGACCCCCCATCTTCTGAGCTTTGCCCGCCAGCTCATTAGCCTTGCCCTGGGCTTGACCGCTCACATTCTTGGCCATACCGGCGGCTTGCCCCTTGAGATCGGCAGCAGCGCCGGTGTTCTTTTGGCCGGTGACGTCTTCGGCTACTTCCTTTACTTTGGAGGCGACGGTTGCTAGGGTAGGGCAACCACATGTCAGTTGGGAACGGGGGAGGAAAAATGGGTGGGAGACGTACACCCAATATCAATGGCATCAACCAACTTATCGCTCATGGTCCTGTCCACCGTCTTGAGCGTGTCCTTCGTCGTGTCAGCAACCGTCTTCTGCAGCGTAACGCTGCTCGAAAAAGCGGCTCTGGGCGCGGTAGTGGTGACGGTTGTGGAGCGGATGGCCTGGGTGGAGAGGGTGGCCAGGCGACGGGTTGTGGCTTCGGTGAGGAAGGACATTTTGACTTTTGTTTAGGTGTTTGTAGTCGTTGCGATAGTTTTCGGCCGAGTATATTGACAGAAATGGAGGTTTGTCTGTGTGTTTGCAGTACTGAATAAAAAAAGAATAGGATGAACACATGTCTGTGTGATGGTGGTGGTTGTTATAAAGGCAGGCGTTGGAAGCGGGTGATGATGTCATACTTTCGTTGGTGGTCCACGGAAGAGCTCCCAGATGACGTTTTGGTGGGGGAGCTTGGGAGCAGTTTCAACCCCGATCTGCCGTGTCACTCTTGCCGTTTGGCTGCAGGCTAGAGATAAAGAGAAATTCTGATGGCATGTGCTTGTGTTGGGCTGGGGGAGGCTGCGATTGGACAATTGGGCTTGAGGCCATTTCAAGGGTCTAGATCTCTAATATTACATATATTGGAACACTGTGGTCGAGGAACAGAAACAAACAATTGCAGCTTCAGTATCCAAGATAGATTTTGAGACACCCAGTCAACCGATGACGGTCGATCGTGGAGAAAATAGCTAGTCATGCCACAGCCGGACGAGGCCGTTCCAAAAGTCAAACCCAATCGCCACAACATCACAGGATGTTCCGGCCAGACCACATGCCGGCCTTGTAATGACGGTTTTATCCCATCCTCAACCTCTACTTCCTTTGCCGGCCAAAATTATATACTCATCAGCTAGTACACTTACCTCCCCTTAAACACAGGCTTCCTCTTCTCCCCAAACGCCCTCAACGCCTCATACTTATCCTCAGTATTCACCACCCTCAAATACATATCATTCTCCACCGCCTCCATCGGCTCCCCAACCGCCTTCAACCCCGCCCTGATCGCAATCGGCCCCCCCTCGCTAATCTCCGTCGCCAACCTCACCGCCTCACTCAACGCAGTCCTTCTCGCCAAGTCCAGCACCTTCCCATCCCTCTCCTTCTCATGCAAACCCTCCCACTCCTTCTCGGGCTGCACCTCGACCAACCTATCCGCCAGCCCAAGGAAATACGCCTCCGGAGCGGAAACCCTCCTCCCAGTAAGGATTAAATCCCTCGCCCTGTTGATACCGATCAGAGCAGGAAGACGGTAAGTCCCCCCAGCACCAGGAATAATCCCCAACCTCGTCTCAGGCAACCCAACCACAGCATTCGACGTCATGACCCTGAAGTGCGTCGACAAAGCCAACTCCAACCCTCCCCCAAGCGCCAGCGACGAGATGGCCGAAATAGTAGGAATAGGCAGATTCGACAGCGAAGTCAGGGTACTCCTGAGATTCGACAAAAAAGCGGCAGTCCTATTTCCATATTAGCCCCCCCTCCCATCCCCTCCCTCATATCGCAATACTTACTCCTCCTGCGTAAACCCCCTCCTCTCCTTTAGATCCGCGCCCGCGCAAAAACTAGCATCAACCGCACTGGCAATCACCAACGCCCGCGTGGGACCTTTCTCGTCCTCCCCCGCCACACCCCCGAATCTCTTTTTCCATTGAGGGGTTGGGAGTTCCTCGCCGGTCGCGGGGTCATATTGCTCGTGGACGTCCTCGATCTCGGAGCGGAGGGAGTCGAGGAGGGCGCGGGAGATGGCGTTGCGGGCGGAGGGGCGGTTGAGCTCGAGGATGCGGATGTGGCCGGTCGAGGGGGCCGGGATGTCGGTTATTCTGAGGAGGGGGCCGGGCGCTTCTGTGGAGTAGAAGGCTCTTTGGGCCAGCCGGGGGAGGAGGCGGAGGGGGGTGAGACGGGGGGCCATTGTTGTGGTTGTGATGATGGTTTGGGCTTGGCCGGTGGTGATGGTGGTGGTAGTGGTGATGAGAAGGTGAAAGTTTCTAGCGGTTGAGATGGGGAGCTATGGCCGCGGGAATGACGTCGAGTTTTGGGCGGGCGGGTAGCGTCGGCAGTGGGATTGGCACAACCGAAAAGAGGATGCAGCGAATATTTGAAGAGAGCAGAACCTCAATACTGGCGAATACTGTATCGTCTCAATGTTGGAATTATTGCTTTGTGAAGATTTCGGGCCTTTCGAATAGCTCATCACTGGCTGGTGTGTAAACAGTGGTGAAGTTGCCGATGCCAATGGAGTGCGCTTCCATTGCTCCATCTCTGGCTCGGTAAACAGCTACTCATCCTCCGCTGCGTCAACCACCTCGAAACGGACATCAAAACGGTTCGAATCTTTGACTGCTTTCTCGCGTTTATTTGTTGGAACAACCAAGATGCTTTACCAGTTGACTCAGTTCAAAAGCTCTCGGTATCTAGTCCACCCATCCAGCCCCTCAACCACATGCCAGTCAATCGCCATGAAATTTTCTCAGCCTCCCACGTCTTTCCCCCTCCCGCTCGTTCCAACCCCTGAAAACAACCCCGTTTCACAAACACCCAAAAAGCAAAAGATCACCACAACTCCCCCCTCCCTCCCGCCCGCCCGCTCTCTCTCACAACCCGTCTCGTTTCGAAACAACATACACACATCCGGGCTGCCTCTTTTTTGTCTTGGTGCCTTTTTCCTGGAAAAACAGAATGATCCTCAAACACCCGGATACATAGCAGCACATCATCCTCCCTCCCTCCATCCCATCCCAAACAAGTTCAATGATGGTCGGTCGGTCCCCTATTTTTGCTCTCAATCCCCTTTTCTGATTCGCCCAGGGATGACCTGGCAAATAACGTGACACTGCATATCACGGGATTTTAGACCTCAACTTCACCTCTCTGTTGCTTAAGGGTATCATCTCTGCAGTCGGATTTTTTTTTGTAGATTGCGTAAACAGATATTGCGTTTTGGATAGATATAATTCTGTCATTCTTGTCAAAAAAACAGCAAGTAGTCAGAAATTAACCATGGTTAAGCCAAGAAAAAAAGGAGAGTAGATTGAGAGGCCAATGTCTCAACCTCACTCATCGTACCTTAAGCTAATGATGTTTTGAGCTTGATATAAAATTAAACACGCCAAAGTGAGTGGGCATACGAGCATGTAGAATGGAACTGTCAAAAGCATCAACAAAAGCACGCAAACACAAGCCACCACCCAAACTCAGTCATCAATAATCTTCCTCAAACCAATCATCAAAAGCAGAAATCATGCAGAACGATGACTCTTCCCCCTTCTCCGACCAAACCAACAAACACCAAAGCAAAAAGCCAGAGTAATAGTCAGGTATAGATAGACAAGGTAGATAGGATAGGATACGTAGGTGTAAGTACGTCATCTGAGATGATAGATATGTAAAATATTTCCTTTATATTTCTCTCTTTCCCCCTACTCCTTCCCTCTTCCTCCACACCCCCCCCCCAAACAAAGGTAGGGTCTTCTTTCAATATCCCATCCCAATTCCCATAACACAGCAAAAAAAATTGACAGCTAGTAAAATAAAAAAAATGACCGACCGGAGCTTTATCAACTCCCCCTCCCAATTTTTGTTTCTTTCTTCCCACCCCCTCCTGTCTGAGAGACAGAGAGAGAGATAGAGAGAGAGAAACAAGGCCGGGGTCCACCGGATTTTTGTGTAGCAGGAGAGCTGGACGTAAAAGAAAACAAAAAAGTAGCAGAAAAAGGAGAGGATAGACCAAGCATTCATGCAATGGTGTTGAGCAAAGATAGGAGCAACCGAGATACCCCAACTGCGGGATTCGGTCACTTTTGCTCAAACCCTACAACGCAAAAATATTCCTTCAAGTCGGATAACGCCCGCTCATGCTGTTTGCTCGCTTGCTCGCTCGCGTGATATTCGATGTGGGTTCCGAAATGGTAAACAAGATTGCGGCAGATATCCCCTCCTGATACGCCGATATTATGCAGATGTTCAAAGGTTAAAATACAGGCGAGTTCGTTTGTCGTCATCACTTTGGTCGATAGCCGGAAAATTGATCATGCATTGGTGACCTGTTGAGTTGTCAGTGAGCGGTACCATCTTGGGCCTTGAGCAGAGTCAAAACCTACGCGAAGGATCTTCCTGGAGTAATCTTCGTTGTCGGCGATACTGCCGTCACTCATCCTCCTCTGGGCCATGACTGGGTCCATGCGGGAGTCGGCGCCGGAAATGCCACTGCCGCGGCTGCTTCCGGGGGGTTGGCCAATAAAGGCGCTCACGGCAGCGTTGCGACGATGCTCCTCTTCAATCTCCTTGTTCCTCTTGCGGCGGAGGTAGAGGTACGCGCCCGTGGCAAGACCCACGGCGGCGATCACACCAACCACCACACCGGCAACGATGCCGGCCACGTTCTTGCCGCCCTTCTTCTCCTCCTCTTCGACTGGTGCTTGTGTTTGCGTGACGACGCTTGGAGGCAGTGTGACCACCTGGGTTGGCGCGGCTGTTGTCGAAGTTGTGCTTGTCTTGTGTTTCTCTCCCGTCGGTCCGCTATCTTCGGCAAAATCCACATCTAATGTCAGTCCTGTGTTGTACACCGAGAAATAATTCTTTCCGCCGCCTGGGCATCATCGTGTTAGCATGTTGTCGTCTTTCCCACAACACATCGGAGCCGGCAAACTTACAGGCCTCTTCGCCAAAGCCAGTGCAGCCAACGTCGCATTTCTTGTTGTCAACCAAATCATCCTCGGGCGGGTACTTGTAGCCACACCAGCACTGGTTGCCGCCCGTGGTGGCAGCGGCCGTGAATCCTTTTGGAACGCAAGTTTTCAAAGCACACTCTCCGATTGAGTTGTACTGAATGACTGTAACAAACGTCATGTTATTGCCAGCTGATTTGAAGCATCCTTGGTTTGTCTGCGCGTTCAGTCTGGCGTCTTCGATCGGCTTTTGTACTGCAACAGGAATTTTGGGGGTGGTCTGGCGGGCCGCCATCTGCTTTTCTGGAAAGGCCTCGGCGACAGCGAGCAGCGCCGCGGCGAAGATGGCTATCGACTTCATCTTGGGTTGTGGGAAGGTGACGAGGTCAAAGATGGAGGTGTCGCGGCGACGGTTCGCGATGTCCAAGGTGCCCGAATGGTCCTACCCTAGGTACTCTGCACTGTCGATTGCTTTGGCGGCTGCTACCTTGCTCAGGTGACTGGGTTGGTCCACTTCAACGATGGCGGCGTCGGCCAGTTCGCTTCTTCTTATTCTCTTTCTCTTTTTTGTTGCGTGTGTTGGGTATCGGCCACAGGTTCACAGAACCTTTTCAAAACGGGCGCTGGGATGCCAAAGGGCGATGAAAATGGACAGAAAGGTGAAGCGAAGTGGTGTTGTAAACGAGTGGTCGCGATCGGGTGGGATCGGGCAAAGATGGTTCGGTGGTTGCGTTGGATGTTCTCGTCTCCCTGTTTCGGTGGACGGACTACTGGTGAGCGCGCATCGCCTTCGTCTCGGACTGGGTGTAGGCGTGTTGTCGTCGTCGCCGTCGTCGTCGATGCTGTTGTCGATGTTCGATGTATGGTTTGATGAAGAATCGAAGATCGAGGAGATGGTAGGTACACTACACACACGAATGGGTTGAAAATGAGCGACTTTGGTTATTACGAGATAAGGAGTGACAGTGGTTTTGTTGCAGATGGAGAAACTGGGCGACTGGGCGAGGGAGGGAGAGAGCCAGGGGGAAGGGTGCAAGCGAAAACGAAATTGCACTGGGACCTCGGGATGCTGGGGGCTCGTCGCTGTGCTTCTGTGCTTCCCTGCAGGGGCACCCTCCTCGCCAGTCGTCGCTTCCCCCAGGTGTCGTCCCAACCGAGCCTAGCGCGACGGAGCACCCACACGGCCCAGTGGGCCAATGGAAGCGCGTTGGCAGAGGAGAACAAATTTCAGGGGCCCGGCTCTCTTCCGCCGATCACTGCAAGGTCGCGGCCCTGATGTGCCGTTAGGAGAATCGCATCCCATGTTACTGCTGCCGTCTGACTCCCAAGCCTTTGCTCTATCAGCATCTGTCATCTGAGCATCGTCCCAACTCCCACGATACCAACCCTGGCAAATTATGCACACACTGTGTGTCACCCTGCCACGTTCCCAGCATCTGCATTCGTGTTCACGGCGGCGCCGGCCATTCAAACGGTTTTCCTCCGCCCTCATACCTGTCATGCCGGGATAATTGGTGTATTTTTGGACACTGGATAGCCAATTTGAACGATAGCGGTCCCCGTGCCCTGTTGTCGATGGAGTCAATAGGGATAGTGCTCCAAATGTCAAACAAAAGAAAAAATACAGCGGCAAACTGGCGATAGCCTCTAGGCTGGGCGCTGGGCGCTGGGCATCTGGTGGCGGCGGGGCCGGGGAGTCCAACTTGAAACAAGAAACACGGGGGGTTCGGTCCAAAGCACGCCGCCAGCCGTTTTCATTTTTTGTGCATTCAGTTTCCCACCCCCTCTCCCTCTCCACCCTCGAGTGAGTCCGTCTGTCTTGACCTGAGCTGATCACTTCTGCTTCTCTGCTGGCGCTGCAACTTCATTGGCGGTTGGTTGTTTTTGTCGTACCGTTACTGTCGGCTGTCAGGCGATTTGGGGTTAAATAAATAAATTGTAGACACGGAACCGCTGAATACGAACATGTCTCCACCCGCATAACAACGACATCAACAACAACAAACGGGGACGGAGGGCAAGGCATTTCAAAGAAATAAAAATTAAAGAACACGCCGGGGTGGCTGCATAAACCCGAAATTGCAAGCCCTGCCGTTTGCTGCACAGCCCTCTTCCACATGCTCCACAAACAAATGCTTCCAGACCAACCCAAATGCTCTCTCCCTTTTCCAGCTTCTCATCATTGACATGAAATTCCGATAATGCCGTCAATCGCAAATGCCTCTTGTCGTCTGGATTTCTTCGCGTCAAGCTGTCAAGAATTAAAGAAGCGCGCGCCTCGGCTCAACTGCTCAACGTCTCCCTCCGCGCTTCGCGTCTCTTCCCAAAGTAGCATCCGATCTGCCTCCCAGCCGCCGATACGCGAGGATTATCAACAACCTATACATTTCATGACAGCCACTGCTTTCTGGAGGACATTGAACGTCAGCTGGTTCCGCGACACGCAAACACCACCATCCATCACACACCTTGTAATCCTCCCGACTCCGGCTCCCTCGCTCCGTGCATGTCACGCCGCAACACGTGCCTTGTACCTGCGTCCAGTGAGGTGGTTGGGCCCCCCCATTGATCGGATACATGTTCCTGTCGTACTGGAGTTTCGTGGACCTATCCTATGTGCTTGTGTGATATCTAGATAGGACTTTGTTCAGTTGATGGTGATTTTGGTGTGACCAAGGGCTTCCCAGATAGCTACCATCCCCAGGCTAGGTATCCCAAGCTTATATCATTCTAACCCAGGCTTGTACTGTCGTTAATCCAAACTTATTGTCATTAAACCGAGCTCTCATCGCCCTAATCCCAGCTTTTATTATCCCCAGTCCCAGCTATCATCTCTTAGCTTAGATCCTATTCGTGTCATTCAAGTGCCGCTTCCTTCCTTCGAGAAAGGAAGCAACCAGAGCTGTGAGAAGTGCCCCTTGATCCCATGTTAACAGGCCCGGCTAAGACGACGTACAAGTTTCAACTGTGCGTGCAATACTTACACAGCGACAGAAAGCTTCCTCGCGCCTTCTTTGCTGATAAGAATCAGAGTCTTTATCGGATAGTGTTGACACATGGTCAGAAATCGTTCCACCGAACTGCCACATGATATAATGCTCCCAGATAGTCAGGCATTCTTCGGGTGTGACCGTATTAGTTGAACGCTCGTCTCGAAATTTCCTCTTCCACGGATTTGTGTATGTGGGCCTGGGCACAAATGTCGTCTTGTTGAAAAGGTGTTTCCGATATTTCGTAAGGACTTGTTCCAAAAAGTCGCAATGCTGCTGATCGGTTGGATCAAGCCCAGTCACCTTCCCATAGCGTGAAGGGCTCACATGGCTGGCGCCAACGGCGAGGTAAACTGTTGCGGCGATACTTAATAGATCGGGATTGAAGTTGTGGTCAGTCTGCAGCTTCCAAGTGGGATACTCGTACTTCCCGCACCGGATCGCTGTGAAAAACGGTCCGCAAAGTTTTACTTTGTCACTCCACCACGGCATGCCTGGCATTTCGCTCATTGCGATGGTTCCAATGTCAATTATCTCGCCTCGAGTTTGAGACGAATCGTGGTCCTTGTTGGGATTCAGCTCCAGGTGCTGCTTTTCCCTCTGTTCGGCAAGGATAAACCGCATTACCACTTGCCTGCGGGTCATGATATTTTGCAGGCGTTCCAAGAACACAAACGGCGGACCGTCCAAAGAATGTTTGTGTCGAAGAAGGAGCAGCTGTTTCATCCAGCCAGGGTGGCATATACGGGAGAGAGGGCCGCAGTGGCAGAATTCGACGAGGAGCATCTGCGAAATGGCGTCATGAGTGGTATCCCTCGTCACTCCGCCTTTGAGCAGAACATCTTGAACCACAGCCTCCTGGAAATACTCCGAGATTGTTCTGTGTGAAAAATAGGTTTGATGCAGTAGCATCCGTGACGGGTAACTGATACCAGTACCTAGACCCCAAGTGCTCCGTGCCGAAGCACCTGGGTGAACAATCAACACCTCCACCAGCCCCCTGCACCAGGTTCGAAGCTGGGTCTTGGCCTTATCAACACGCTCGTCATCAGAATCGATGACCGTATCTGCGTCTACCACTATTTCTAGTTGCCACTTCAGAGGAGTAAGTGTAGATGCAAACTGGGGGTTTTTGCAATACTCATGTATAGGAAAGAGAGCGCAACGACGGAACAAGGGATTATAAGTCACTCCATCACCGGAAGTATGGCAAAGACAAGATACGCGTTACGACGGTGTCTTTCGGGGATGGTTGCCACTGTTCTGTCGAGAAGCGGTTGCAGGCCAGCTGGGAAACGATCGAGTATGTTCAAGTCGAGATCAACTGCATCGCCCATATTCAAATCCTCCCGTATCTCTCCGACAACGAGCTTGGCCCAGATGAACACAACTTCAGCCTTTTGAGGGATAGTCCGAATCAGCTTTTGTTTGAGTTCAACGTCCGGTACCTTTTGCAGTCTTCCTCCACAAATCGTTCCATATCGTACCGCGTAAGATCGTGTAGACGAATCGTGAGCTCCGGCGCAAATTTGTTGCAGAAGGCCGTCTGCTCTCTACTTGCGACACATAATTTGACACTGGACTGCCCTGCAGGTGCCCATTTGTAGAGCAGGTCGACCAAGTCGGACTGATCCCACCCATCTGGGTCCTGGAATTCATCAAGGCCGTCGATGAACACGCAAAAGCAATTGGTGCTCTGCGGAGCATCCTGAAAGATTTGGTTGAGAGCCCGTAAGGCGGTCGCACCGTCAATTTGAAAAGCATCGTTTCCTGCGGAACGCTATTGACTTCATCCCAGGCTTCAGGGAGAAGGACCGGCGTCATTTCAGGGCAGCATCTGAGAATATCGTGAAAAAGAGTTCTCGTCAGTCCTACAAGCTTCTGTTGGGCACCGCCGATGACGGTAGAAAAAAAGAAAATTGACCTTGACAAGAGTGCGACGCCCTGCCATCCTGAAATCAGCTCTCCTCATGTCCGAGGCTTTGGTGGCATCACTCACCCGCCCATTTTTCCAATGACGTTTGTGTGGAAGCGTGATGAAAGATAATTTGCATCAGTGTCGACGCTGCCGAAGCCTGTTGAGCATGTCTCAGCTCGTCAATGCTTGTCTGAATCTGGTGTAGTTTCCTCGAATTACCACGAGCCGACGAAGCAATGCTATCGACTCTGAACTTGGTGGACCAAACTAAAACCGTAGTGAGACGACCATAGCACTTGTCCAGCCCGTCCTTCCAAGTCTGCTTTTTCTTTACCGTGGATAAGGCTTCTCCATGACGCAGCTATCGTTCCCCAAGCAGCCTGCAGCCCCTTTGAGTCTGGTCGTCTCATGGTTCTGAGAAGGTGTAGAAGGTCACTGGCAATCCGATGACAGTCCTCTGCAATATGGCGTAGATCCTTTTCGTTGTCCGACAAGGACTCGTCTCTAGGAAGACACCTGAGAACAAACGTGTCTGGAAGGGGTCCATCCTGGCGATCACATCTTCCAGCGTGGCATTTTCCGACAGATTTCCCTCGCAGTGTATTTCGATGCCGCCTTTGACCAGCTTCGTACCAGACGTGACGAATGACAGGATGGCCGATACCAGACCGATAGAGGTAACAGGGTCCTTGTTAGCGCTGCACGTGACGGGTGTCGTTTGCGATGGTCGATGCGTGGAGGAAGAGGTTGACGGTTTCTGAGTCAACCACGAATTGCGGGAGCCTGATTGTGCTCAGAAAGAAATGAACCAAGAAATGTCAAGGAAAGCAGGCTCTCGGTAACATACCCCTCACTCGGGCTGAGAATCGGGCTGACAAGGTAGGAAGCACCTTCCCAGCGCTGGCAGCCACTGATGGGCCGCAAAGAAGGAGCACAGCAACAGAGGGAGCGAATGATTGACCAGACATAGCGCTGATATATCCAATGATGACCTGACACACCATACACAAAAGAATAGAGAATGCGGCACAAGATCAAGGCCTGAAAAGATAGGTGGTCAACATGGCTTTCAAGATAGTTGATATGCCTTAAAAGATAACTAGGATTCCTTTTAAGATAGTAAATGGGTGTTAAATATACATGCCTTGAAAGATAGCCGAAAGGCTTGAAGAAGATTAATCGAGGGCATTAACTACCCCTTCATATTCAGTGATAACCCCGGGCGCCCCAATCCCCAAGCCCCATTGCTCCCCATAGAAACCCGTGATCAACTTGGGCTTCTCCACGACCAAGTTTGACCCCTTGAAAGTCTCAACATACCATTTGCTAGGCACGTGCCTGAAGAAGCCAAAGCGGCAACTCCTTCTACGGCTGGTAGTTATTTTGAAAGATGCCAACTGCCCGTATTCTATCTACTTCATCCAATTCTCTCGTCCTCTGTTTCATCCATTTCCTCATCCTCTGCTTCATCCATTTCCTCAATACGCATAGGTATATTTTTCGAGTATTTACGGCGGATTTGCACAGCGATTATCCGCTCACCTCCAGGGCCGTCAATGTCAAAATGGAGACTCGTTGAATAGCGCGGCTCCAACTTCTCTTTCCGACCAAATTGACTGCATTGCTCCGGGATGTCATCTCTATCGTATTGGAAGATGAAGCGGCCATAATCATGAAGGGATATTCTGGTCAAGTGCTTCAGGTAAGCACCTTTTGGTCCACCGAAATGTGTCCATAAGACAGGGTTGAAACCCGGCAGATATTGCTTGGCTCGGTGGAAGACGCCGTTGAGTTTGAGAGAGTCAGGCGGGACTCGGGGGTACCATAGGCCAAGATCTTTGAGAGGTCGATCCGGATGGGCCATATCGGTATCACTGCCATCGTCGTTCGATGTGTTGACGTTGTCTTTGAGGACTGCAGCTATGCTGACGAGATGGAACCCCTATATGGGAAAGAGTGAGTTTAGCTGGCTTTTCCCGCTGAGCTTCGAGTCATAGTTCGTATACATACACCAAACCCAAGTCGAAATCCCGAAATGTAGTCAAAGGGACCAAATTTGACAATTTAAACAGACACCTTTGAGATAGATTCAGGAACAGCAATGCTCTGCTGAGACAAGGGTTTTTGGCCTCCTGCTACTTTGACCCAGCGGCAGTCGTTAGGGGCAATTGTCTTGTTCCAAGGAGATGACGTACATTGTTCGGCATCCTGAGGCTTTGACTTCACAAGACATGCCAGCTGTTGAACGCGCTTCCAAATGGTTCCCGGTTCACACTTGCCTTTCCGGCTATGCGCTTCTGTCGAGCATCAACCAAAGATGGGTCTACGTGCGAGCGTGGAAACTCTTCATCGCGCAGCTTCCTCCCGCTGGTCATCTCCAGGGGAAATACTCATCATCGTCAAACCCCCATGTATCAGCCCACTAGAACTGGTGGCTCCCCTCCCCTCGTGAAAAGACTCTAGGATTTGAAACACTCTGTCGAGCGGAACCGGGCCTGGGGACAAGGCTTCCTCCAGGAGTGGCCAACAAGCATCGTGGATGACATAGCCGCGCTTGCCGACCTTACTGTTTCTGGATGTTGAGAAGTAGTCGTCCTCTTCTGCGTATTTGTCATACCCCTCATCGTCGTAGGAACCGTCGGGGTTGGAGGGAGCAATGAAGCCCCCATCACCGGGATCATCATAGCAGCCGCGTCCTTTCAGCATATTTTGACCGTCGCTTCCCTCCTCCCTGTCGATAACAACTGGATCATGCGAGTGTCAGTAAGCTATCGTAACAATGCAGGAAACAAGAAGACGTACGGCCGCGGAACTCATTGCACCAAGGTGGTGTTACTCTAGTGAAGAGCCACCTGCAAAACGGGCAAGTCACTCAACGTGGACTAATGGTTTCTTGTTTCTTGTTTACACTCTTTCCTGAGAGAAGAGGGATGAAAGCAAAGGAACTAGGGAGGAGGAAATCTCAAGCTAAATATCGAAGCCTGGAAGTGGGGTCAAGGCTGCAGCATCAAGTTGCTCTCAGCCTCCAAAAAGCTTCCACGCCAGTACCAAGCCCCGACGAGGAGTGCCTTGCTCCCACCGCCACAGGCCATGTCATTCACAAGCCCGTTGGGAGATACAAATCGCGGTACCTGAACTTGCTGGTGGCTGAAAGTCAGGAGCTTGGGCGTTGTGGCCTACCGTGGTGCCACACCTCCATCATCCAAACTTTCTCGTCTACAGAGGCATACTCAGCGATATCTAAGCTATCTGCGAGCTTGATGGCCCTGTATTTTCAGCTTGTCACAGTATGTGGAGCGTCTGAGAGGTGGCACACGCGTGGCTTAAAAACCCAAAAACCAAGTGACCTCAGAGACGCGTTCCAAAAAGTCTGGGGAAACCCGAAAACCTTTTCCATGCCATTCTTCCTTTGTCTTACCGTTCCCAAAACCATACCACCAGACTTTTGCCATTCAGATACCCACACCGCGCCCTTCAGGTTAACCACCGGATATCATTCACAATGCTGGGCTCCGAGTCCTATAGCATCGGTACGCGCGGCCGGGGCTGGATCCAAAATATCCCATGCTGCATATACCTGACGATATTCTTTGGCATCTCCCTTTCCATCTTTGTTCTGTGTGTTTTAATTGCAGCCACGTGCGCAGTTGGAATACACGTTGCTCGAAAGTGTGGACGAGACGGTCCATGGTTGGAGTCTAAATTGCGTGGAGTGTATTATCTATACGCGGAGGATGACGAAAAGGAGGATGATGTAGAGGAGGATGAAGAAGGTGACGACGAACCTTATGAAGATTCAGATTCTGTTTCCGGAGAAGAGTCAGAGTCAGACTCTGGCGACGACAAAGATGACGACGAATCTGATGAAGACGGCGAAACTGATGAGGAAACCCAGGACCGATATCCAAGAGACCAGCTATATGAAGGGCACACTCGCGCAATCTGTGAAGCGGAATCCAATCGTACCAGTTGGTGCCTCCCTGGCCATATCTTGTCACATCCGAACTTGGTCAACTCGGACGTGGGCCATGAGGATACCTCCGATGACGAGCCACTCATCATCACCCCCTCAAGTTCGACTGACGGCCTCGTGATCGACAGCGCGGTGCATCCCTCTAATCAGAACCAGCTTGTACCCGCCGAGGCTTCCATCAGCTAGAAGACCTCGTGTCCTTCAAGCAATTGGACCAAGAGAGGGAGGAGAACAGGAGGCTCAAAAAGGACAACGAGCCGCTGCGGAATCTCATCAAACAGTACCAGAGAGATAACGGGGAATTACGAACTGATCAGACACCACTCCACCGGCAATCTGAAGATTTGAAGGATGATACTTTACGCGGCAATGATGGACGTGGGCGGTATGGTGCCGTACCAGCGCTCTGAGCAGTGCTCGTCACTCGGCCGGAGATGGAAGAGTATGTGCGGCATTTAGGCTGGGTATCTTCTCCAAGGAATGGAAGGCTTGATACCTCTCGAGAAGTTGATCTTTATCTACTTAATGTGATAACTCACCATTCCTTCACCGTGACTGCCTTAATCGGGAACCTCCTGACACTCATGGAAACAGCGACCATTCTCTAGAAGGTCCGCTCCTTCCGCCACTGATATTGAATTCCGCTCCTTCCAAAACACGTTGAGTTCCGCTCCTTCCACACTGATGTTGATCTTGCCTCTTCTGCTGTCCCACGACCCGTCGAATTCAATTTTGACGTCTTCCATCTCTCTCAGCCTTCCACCTTTGTCTTCCACCCCGCCTTCGACTCAAGCTTCTCTCTCCAACAAGCAAATCCACAATGCCTCCTTCGCGAACTCGCATTGGCATAGGTGCCGAAACTGTAAGTGCATATGTCCTCAGCTGTGCAGAGTTCGCCACTAATACCCTGCATGTATCGTGGAGACCCGGAGACATCGCCTTGTGAAGCTCAGAGCCCATTGTCCGCATGTGGACACACGTTATCCCCAAGTGTTTCCCCAAATCTCATGGCTTTTGCTGGTTGACCTATGGAGGAGCATCGTATCGATGAAGTTGGATTGATAAGCTACCGGCTTTGGCATAGGGTACGGTAGTGGTACAAGCTGGGTGTGAGGTGGTTGGTGATGAAGCTGGGATTGATGAGGGTTAGAATTGGGATTGGCGACGGTGAAAGCTGGGATTGGTGATGATGAATGCTAGGATTGATGACGATGTATGCTAGGATTGGTGACAATAAGAGCTGGCAGCATGTGACGATGGAAGTTGAGATCGATAAAAGACATCAATAAACCTTTCATCACCCTGGCCTTGAGCTTAATCTCTAACCATGGGTGTGGCATCTTGTGGCTTGCCGACGTTCCATTGGTGCCAGATGAACCCTCAAACTTTGTGTCCTTGCTGCTTTCACCGTCTTGATATGAAGAACTTTAAGGTGTTAAATGGTCAATTGATGGTAAGCTATGGTGTAGCCCTACTGTCAGGTCCGTATCCTCTGACCTAGGTAACTAACTGTAGCCGCATTGGTCTGGTAGCGTCATGGCATTAGATGAAAGCTCCGATCTCTCCCCAGAAATTCCGCCCCTTCCAATACTGTCATCGGATTCCGCCCCCTCCCTACACTGACATCAGATCAGCTCCTTCCAACCCTGGCTTCACTCTCGGCCTTGTTCTTTCCACCTTGCTCTCTCCGCCTTAGTATTCTCCGCCTTATTATACCCCGCCTATTCTACTACCCCGTCACTCTACGAATTTCTCATCCATCCTTTCCCTTCAATTTTTAATTCCCCTCTTCTCTCTCCATCTCGTCCCCTTCTCCAAACAACCTCCTCCAACCTAATCTTCTCTCTCCAACAAACAAAGCCGACAGATACCCGAGACATTCAATCAAAATGCCTTCCGGACAAGTTCTCAAGAGCGTAAGTGTATCTGCTTATTATTACAGACAGTTCACCATTAACTTTATTTGTAACTCCGTATACGGCGCGTAGTCTGTTCATCGAGCTCTGCGACGACATCGTCTTCCCAGCCCAGCACCACGCAGTCAGCTCCATGTGGCTCAACCTTCTGGCCTTGTTTTGCTCGAGTTCTGATAGGTTTGCATTGGAGCGCCCGAGGAACTCCGGGGAGCCAAACTTACGAGTGCGCGTCCTCTCTGAGGGCAACCGTGGTCTCAGGACCGTCCTGTTGAATGCGAAGCCGCTGGATCCCAATGAGGGGCAATCATTGAAAGAGTGTGTTTGGTCGAACTGGAGATCTCAGCTGGAGGATCACGCCTCTCGTGCGTGGGGGTGGTTGCATGTGGTGGATGAGCAACTGCATGATGCCGCCAACATTGCGCGCTTTGGGGCCATCACAATTGGCAGAGAGGTGCAGTTCTTCGAGTGCATTCCCGGGGGGAGGCCTGCTATTCGGGCATCTGGACACGACGAGGACGAATTGCTGGAGTTCAAAGGCTGACGAAGCCAAGATCATCGAGATTGTTGACGAGATTCAGAGAATCAGCCTGGTTGGGTCGGAGGAACGGGACTTGAGACGGCTACATCAAACCATCGATTGATCATTTAACCCCCTAAAGTTCTTTACACCTTGCTCTACTTCCGGTGATGCTCCTCAGCCTCCTCACACTCCATCCGATGCTTCCTCCAATCCCTCTTCTGGCACTCCCCACTGCAATACCTGACCTTCAAACACCTCCCACACTTCTTCAACGCCACCCCCTCCTCCTCATCCTCCACCTTCCCACACGCCCTGCAACCCGCCACCCTCTTCTCACCACCCCCCGCCAACCCTCTCGCCAGTGCCGGGTCAATGATATCCTCCACCAACTGCGAAGCATAAACTGGGCTGATCGCCACCCTAGTAGAATACCTCGCAGCAGTCTCATCCCACTCCGGCAACGGGATGAAATCCGAAGGCAACTTCCCCTGACCACAAGAGCAAATAACCTGCTCCCCCTCCTTCAAGCTCAACGGAACAGTCTTTTGCCCTTTCTCCCCCGAGGCAGTAACATACTCACACGTCTTGGGGTTATGTTCCCAAGTTCTGCACCTCTCAACAAAGGCAGGCAAAGCCTTCTTCCACATCTTGAGCTCTTCGTCATCAACGGTGATGGTGCAGCATTCCAAAGTTCTGATCAACAGCAAAAAGCCCTCTAGCTCCTTGCTGTCAACTAAAGCCTTTGTGAAAGGAAGAATAGCAGCATCCAAGACGACCGTGGCATGGGGACAGTCAAGGCGGATGGCGTTGACAAACAGCAGCATGTGAATGCCGCCATTCTTGGGGTCCGAAATGGCAAAGAGTCCTGTTTGTCCTCCTTGAAGACCAGAGGAGAGCATAAACATGGTGAAGAGGGACTCCTTGAAGTTGAGACGAGGGGAAGGGCCGAGACCGGTGTAGTTGTCGTCTTGTGCGTTGACCTCCTCGCGGAGACGGCGCTCATGTCCCGAGAAGACGAGGGAGGTGAGGGTGGTCAAAAACTTGATCCGGGGATCCTCATCCTCATCTTCGTCGATTGACAGAATGGGAAGGTTGTCAAGGTTAAGGTGTGGGATGTTGAGCGTAGCCGGGATCCCAGATGGCTGAATCGCTGTCGACGGCAGGATGTGCGTGTCAAGTAGGGGCACATCCAACGGCTTCACCAAAGAAGAAACCACCTCAACATAGTGTGACTTGCGTGCCACTCTTAGGGCACACTTCTCCTTGGAGACAGGAACTGTGAAGATCATGGGCAAGACCAACTTCCGGGCGCCAAAGACCACTTCAATCGTGAAGGGCGAGACTTGCTCCATATTGATGGGCACTGACTTGTCCGACAACAAGCTACGCCCTTCATCCGAGGTGATATCGATGTGCCCGATGATCTGCAAGACAACATCCGCCTTGGCATCCACAGCATTTTCATCCAGCTTAGCTGTAAACCATGGAGTCATTGAAGAAGTTACCTCTGATTCGCCAAGCTTCTTGGTCGCTGACTCAACCGATACCGTCTCATTTTCGAGGAGCCACTGCCCTGGAAGTACATGTGTGACGAGTACACTATCGATGGGTACTCGGTGAATTTCGCATTGAGGATTGCCCAGCACCGTCTTGTACGCCAATCGGTTGTAGAAAGGGTCTGCAGTGCACAGCGCCACACTCTGTTTGGATTGTTGGAAGCCCGCCAATTTCTCCATAGGGACATATAGCGACACCACTATATCAGAAGACCCGGACCATTCTTCTTTGTCTTCATCCGCTTTGCCTGGGACACCATCCTGGTCAGGCGAGTTGAACTTGGTGATAGAGCCGAACGCTAGCTGGTAGTTCGTGTATTCGATCTCGGCTTCCGGGATTGTTACCTTCAGAGGCAGAGGAATGCCTTCGTCTCTGGAACACTGGGCTACCGGCTTCCACTTCTCCGCCGGCACAGTAAACGTAATCGCCACAGAGTCAAGCTTCTTGTTCAACTTCAAAGCCGGCTCACCAGACAGAAAATCCCCCGTATATGCGGGGTTTCCTGACGGTTCAGGCACACCGCAAATGCCCCATCCCTTGATGTGAGGTTCCAAAGTCCCGGCACGAAAGTCCGCAGGCAACGTTTCATATGGATCCAACACCCTGCGAAAGTCCAAGCCCAGTCTTTCGCACAGAACCTTGAGGATAGCTGCAGCAGTGTTGAAGTGGAAGTGGTGATGCGGCCCTCTTCTCTTGCTGTTGTCCTGGCTCAACTCATAAGCCTTGAAGATCCTACCAAACACCCCTTCAAAGAACATGATCAAATCCCTCGCCTCCATAGTCAACTGGTCGCTCTGCCCCTTAACCTGCAAAGAATTCCACTTCCACGCCAGCCTCGATTGAATGCCCCTCGGTCTCTCGTCATCAGCATACCTCTCACTGAACGTAGCCAACACCTCATCCACAACCGCCACACTCGTCGAGTTAGTCCAATACTCCCCCGGGCTCACCCCCAACAAAACCGAAAACGCTGACGTGTACCCCTCCAAAATAGCCTCATAATCCTTCGCATAACACTCCGTATATATCGTCGACGAAGGCACCCTCTTCAACAACACCAACCCAGCAACAAGCATATTCAACACCCCCTTCTCATCCCCCAAAACTCCCGTGTCAACAACGTCAAACTCATTCGGCGCCTCTCCCTCTGCATACTCCTTCTCGTCCAAGACCAAAATGTCAAACCTAACCTCTCTCCTATGCCAACACGCCTCCAACTCTCCACACTCCTTGTTTCTCTTCAACGTCCAGCACAATGAGAAAAAGTCGGCCGCCGCAAACCTGACCGTGATCCTCTTCTCCCCAACCGCCTCTCTGAATGCCTCCAACCAATCACCCCACTGCATCCTCGCCGTCTCGACAATCCTCTCCTTGATGTCCTTCTTGTCCGCATTCTCGATTCTATATGGCGACAGTGGCGTCAACGGGGCGTTGGCAGAGGCAAGATGGAAGCCGATCAGTGGATCGGTGGGGTATTCCAGCACTCGTCTCTGGTTCTCATCGCCAGCTGCCAAAGCGGCAGCAAACACTGGGTTTGGTTTCTTCTCATCCTGCTTCTTAACGGTCGCTTGCCAGTTTTCCTCGGTAAGCTCAGTCAGCGCTTCCATCAGCCCGCCTACTGACAATGGCGCGCAGGATCTCGCGCTGGAAGTGATGACTGCCTGCCCTTCTTCACCATATGTTTCTTCCTTGCGTTTTTGGGAGCGTTCCAGGATGGTGTCGAAGTTTTCGGTTGCTTCGGATGTGGTGTACTTCGACCAAACGTCTTTCACGAATTCGAGGGTCCCAGAATCGCAAAAGCGGAGTTGGCTGTATGGGCCAGCATACCAGGCGTCGAGGGAGGATGCAAGGTCAAAGAGCTTCTTGGCCTGGGTCTGGAGGGCGGTGAGGTTGGAAGGGGTCAGCCAGGCATCGTAATAGATGTTCCAGGCCTGCTCAGCGGTGATTTTGGAGTCAAGGGCGAGGGTAAAGAGGAGGATATTTCTCGCTGTTGACCCGTTAGCTTTTTGCTCTTCAAGCTGCAAGGATGTATCGGATGCTGACCGATCTGGTGAACCCCCTGCTCGCCCTCCGCGCAAGCCGTGACATCAATGCTTTTCCTTTGCGGCAGGCCTTTCTCCGACGCCAAAGTGAAAAGAAGATGATGAGCCAGATCTGGGCCGACAACACACAGAATATCTGCTGGCAAGCCTTGGGGCAGGTCACCGGTGAGGCTGATGGCTGGTGTGATGTCCACAGAGGCGAACGACCCCGCCATGGGGTGGTGGGTGGTGGGAGTGAACATTCTGTCTTGTCTCGCAATTCTGATGCTGTATTTTCTTGCAATTCCGGTAGGGGAAGGGAGCAGATATTTCGAGGATTAACGAGAAGGATAGAGCATGTCGCGGTGTTTGCTGTGTCCACTCATGATGTTGTCGCTGACAGCGCAGATGTGAGCTCAGAAATCTCCAATGGTGGGGCAAAGCCAATTGCAAAACTGTGCGCGCGCACTGTGCTCTTGAGCAACCATGACATTTGAGAAACCACGTTTCGGTGTTCAGTGACAGAGCGGGTGAGTTAAGCCTAAGAGCGCCTGTCTCGTGCTTTGTCAAGTTTTGAGCACTTTGAATTCTTGAGCTGTTCCAGCGTTTCCCTTTTTGTGGTGCGAGGCGGCCGCCAGCCAACTCTAAAAGCCCACTTCAGCCCGGTTCCATCATCAAACAAATCAGAGAGGAGAGGGTGAATTAGTGTTCTTGTTGGCATAGGCAGCAGGGTATCTGTGATGGTTGGGACCAGGTCTTTGGGGTTTGGAAGAAGATGCCGAGAATTTTATAGACCTTGTTGAATTTACCTTTTGTCATGACATATATGTCTTGCGTACTTTACGATCACAGTCCCTGTGCAAGAAGGTGGACGGTGCCTATGTGACCTTCTTGGTTTGAAATGGGCTACCGCGGTGTTAAACATACTGGAATAAGGACAACTGATATACCTAAGTTTTCCCTTCATCTTCACCAAAGCTCAAAGCTCTTGTAAAGAGTTCCTACCATCACCTACCCACCTACGCAGACTCATAATGGCTCCGAAATTTCGAAGCACACATGCATGTTAGGTAGACACATGAGACAGAGTACGTATTGCAAGACAGAATAACAAGCTCAATTCTTCTCTTTATTGTTGCTACCAACATGGGCAGACTAGGTAAAGTATCTATCCACCCCCAACTATCCAAACCGCGCCTATCAGCACAACAGCCACCCGACAAGTCAACATGAAAAAATAAATAAACAGACACAACAGCAAATCAGAATCACCCCACCCCCTCCCGCAACCGAGACCAATCAGCCAACCCCATCGCCCACCCCCATCCCGTAATCTCCAAGCCCTCACCCCTATTTTACACTAGCCACCATGAAGCGACATAAAAGTACACGTTATAAATGCCTTCATAAGCAGCAGAAGCGAGCAAAATAGGCAAGGGCAATAAATCTCAAGAAACAAGAATTATATGCTTCTTAGTAGGAACAAACTTCCAACGATGATATAAGATAGCAAAACGGACGCCCACGCCCGAGAGCAAAAACCCCTTGTTTCCAGCCTTTGCACATTACCCCTTGGGACCAGAGAGAAGAGATTGACAAAAGAAAAGCAGCAACAGTGCAAGACACAAACAAACAAAAATCCCAAATGATAATCCAAATGCCTAGTCAGCCTGCCTCACGACCCCACCAAACCACCAGCCTTGCCAGTTCTATAACCAAACCAGCCCGGCCCAGCCCACACACAATACAAGAGAAAACAAAAAGAGATACAAGAAAGCCAGATATACCACATAGAAAGCAATGGCAAGAAAAAGGAAAAAGGTATTGCTCAGTAGTAACTTGGCCCGAGCCCCCATCGAGTTCTCAGTTCCCCGAAAAGAACACATCCCCGCCCGGCACCCCCATCCCATTCATTCCCCCAAACATCCCCATCTGCTCATACTCCCCTTCAGGATCAAACTTGCCTCCCAACGTCGACATTAACCCCTGATGCTGCATCCCCATCGAACCCGGCACATCATGATGCCCACCATGATCCAACTGCACCGGCACGACCAACCCATGCGGATGACCACCCTCCCCCCCAAACCCAATCAACATGTCATTATCCAAGCTCACAAAGCCCGGCATACACACCCCCGTCGAAACCGGCTGCTGTTGACTGTCCCCATCCTCAAAAAACCTCCCACTCGTCCCCGTCGGCGGCGGCGAAGAGCTACTCGACAGCTCCGGCGGAGTATGATAACTCGCCGTGCTCTTCGCCGGAGACCCATGTCGCCGAGGCGGCACCAACTCCTCCCCGACCGTCCCCCTCCTCCCAGAAAGCCTCGACGAGGCATGGCTGTAATTGCTCATCGCGCTCGGACTCCTGACCTGTTCCTCCATACTTGTTGTCGTCCCCTTATACATCGGATGAACAGGCGGCATCCGCGCATTACTCAACCCACCACCACCCCCACTGCCTGGCGGTCCCAAACTCAAACTCCCCGGATCCATCGTCGCAGTCCCACTCCCCCCATTACCACCCCCGGTCATCGCCACTTCCAAAATATCCGGAAAGTCCTCCTCATACCCCCTCGGCGACCCAACACTCGAGCAACTCTCACTATACCCACTCTGACTACTCGCACTGCTCATCTCCTCCCCCCCGCCATCCTCCTTCTTCCCCTTCCTAACCCTCTCCTTCTTCTCCCTCCTCTCTGTTTCCCCCCCCTCCCCTCTGTCCTTCCTCGGCCGCCCCCTCTTCACCACCTTCCTCACAATCCCATCAAAAGCCCCAATGCACATCCCCCTCTGCCGATGCCTCGTCAACGCATCATGCCTCGCAAAGGTATTCCCACACTCACACGGATAAGGCTTGATCCCCGTGTGAATCTTGGCATGCCTCTTCAAATCATGCTGCCTCACAAAGCACTTGTGGCAGCTCGGACACTGATACTGGCGGTCGTTCAGGTGCGTCTGGACATGACTCTTAATATTCTCCTTCCGCCCGAACCGCTTGTTGCACTCCTCGTACAAGCACACCCACTTCCCATCCGAAGGGTCAGGTCCCTGGATATACTGCGCAATGTCATCCAGCGTGACCCCCGTGTCAGTCTTTGTCTCCTCAATGTTGATCGACGCAATCGACGCCGCAGACGCCAGAGAAGCAATCGACTCCGTTCGGCGGTGCTGATGCAACGACGATGGATGAGGCGAGCTATGACGCGACAGACTCGCCGCCGTAAGCGGCATGTGCTGCAGCGTCGCCTTCTGTCCATCACCATCCAGTTGACCACCACCACCCGGGTTGATCATACCCCCGGCAGCAGCCGTCCCAACCAAACCCCCCATCTGCGGCGCCATCGTCCCTCCCCCTGCCATCCCAAAGTGAAACCCATCAAAATTGTGCTCAATCTTGACAAACTCGGCATTCATGCTCCGCATGTTCATAAACTCTGGCGTCGTCAACCCCTCCTGCATCCCACCACCATACCCCCCCATCACCCCTCCCCTCGGCGGCGGCGGCGTCTGACTGACACCGCCAGCAGCAGCAGCAGCAGCAGCTTGCTGCTCCGCCTGCTGCCTCAGCTCTTGGAAAATCCCCGAATTCCGATTATTATGCTTATTCCCCCTCACAGGCTTGAGCGTCTCCTCCATACTCTCATCATAATCATCGCGAAACCTGCTCGGGATCTGTTGCTGCTGCTCTTGCTCCGCCGGTATCTCAGTCGGGGTCGGAGGAAAACTCTCATTGTCCACCCCGGCAGCCCACTGGTTGATCTCCCCTCCCGCAACAAACTGATGATGATTGGAAGGTGTCACCGGCCGATGTTGAAGGTCGCCGCCGTTGTTCATCATATTCTCAAACTTGGCCACCTTATTACTAATCCCATTGCTTATCCTGCGTGAGTTCCTACGGCTCTGCGCAGACCCCGTCTCCCCCTCCGAAATCCACCCACCCTGACCCGTGCTCGCAGGACTAGAATCGGGAAAAGTAAGAAACGTCGGCGTGGAAAGCGCGCTATCCCCCTGGGCGTAAAAGTCAAAACTCCCCCCACCAACGTCGATCCCACTGTTGCTGCCAAACGCGGCCTGGTTCTTCATCATGCCCATCGAGTTCATGTAGGCTTCGTACGGCAGGGGGCTCATCTCCACCATTGGCGCAGGGCTGGCCAGGGCATCGACGAACCGCTGGTTGTTGGGCGTCACGTTTGGCGATACGAGAAAGGCGTCGCTGCTGTCATGGAAGGACTGGAATGAGTGGTTGGACGAGGTGTCGCTGTGGTCGGTGCCGGACGTGCCAGGGCGCGACAGGCTTTGTCGCTGCTGGTTCTCTCGAAGGATTTGCTGTGGTGTGGTGGGAATGGCCGGGCTGGAGGAAGAGACTGGCGGCATCGCTGCCATCTGGTTGCTGTACTCATGTCGGGCAGCGAGATACTCTTGCCGAGCAGAGGATGATGTGGGCGTCGTGGGCATGAATTGCTGCTGTCGTCGAGTATCCAGGCTCAGACCTCGTCGGTGGGCGATAGGTTGGCGTTGTTGTTGCTGCTGCTGGGAAAAGTTGGGCAGTGGCGCGATCTTGACGGCTTCAAAGGCTGTGGGTGTGGAGATTTGTCTTCGGTGTTGGCGCTGGCGCGGGTGCATGCCGCCGCCCGATTGAGGCGGATTGGAGAGCATTGCAACGGTAGAAGTCGCGTGTAGAGTGGTGTATAGATCCCGTGAAAAGATCACGACGTGGTGGTGATGATGGTATCGAGACTGGATGATTGGCGTTGTCAGTTTTGCCCAGCGTGGCTCTGCGGGTCCACCGGGGTAAACATTGGCCCCAGGACCAAGAGAGCAAGGTGCCTACCTCTCAGCGCAAGCCGAACAGCAGGCGGGCAGGGGCAGTTGGAGCCGCGCTGTCGCTGTCGACCTCAGTCGACGGCGAAGGTGCGCGCGAAAAAGAAACCTGTTGCGCCGGCGATGAGCCTGGGCGGCGGTGAGGGTCGCGATGTCGCGAATCGCGAATCGGGCTTGGTGTATATTGGGAGGCAAGCAAGCAGGCGAGCGATGCTGGAATTGGCAAGGCAAGATGCTTGAAGGTCTCGTGGGAAAAATCTGGAGGTTGGGGAATTGCAGCAAAAGTATGGATTTGCTGCAGCAGACGGTTGCTCTGCCGGGATGCTTGGGACGACGAGGGCCCATGATCGCTGTTCCAAGCTTTGTTTTCTTGCCGGGTGCTTGGCGTTGCCAGGGACAACAGCGAACAATGGCTCTCTGTCTTGCCGAACCGAGGTTTTCCATTGGCTGTTTGGGCCGCAGGTTGCTCCATTCACTAGCTGCCGCCGCTAGCGCTCCACCACTGAGATCTCCCCGCTAAAATCACACGGTCCAGTCCAGTCGCCCACACCTAGCCAGTGCTGGCACAGTCCCCGTGTCCCATTGCCGCGCGCTCTTTTTTATTTGCAGCAATTGTCTTCTCATTTCTTGATGAGATTTCCAGTGGAGTCCAAATCAAGATGCAGATTTCCATGGGGGCCATGATGGGTGCTAATGCGTGTCTTTTCCAGAAATCTGCAGGGTCACCTCGCCATGTCTTGGCTCACATCACTTTTGATCGCTGCCTTGGTGCTTGTCCGGGGCCCTGGCCGCACCTGGCCTTGCTTCGTGCACTCCCGTGGTTACCAAGGTTTCCTCGACAACTCTCTAGGTACGAGGCTGAACGATGACGGCCATTAATACGCCATGATATCGCCGTTCCATTTCACATATCCGCCATTGGAAGGTCCGTGCCCGAGGCAGTGCCAAACCGTGCAACCACCGAGACCAGACTGCTCATGCATTCGTCCATGTTGTCGTCGCCCGTCCACTCCATCATCTTGGTTTGGAGGCATCCCGGGTGGACAGCTAACTTTTTGATCTTGGAACCTAGCTTCCCCAGGTCAATGACCATGGTCCGAGTGAGCTGGTTGACGCCAAACTTAGAGATGCGGTAGCAGACATTTCCTCCTGTGTTGTCCGCGACGCTGGCAAAGTCGGACGACATGGTGATGATCCTTGCATTTTCTACCTTTTCCAGAGCCGGGAGGAATGCCTCGGAGGCGAGAAACGGGGCCTACCACATTAATCTTGAAGTGGCTCATCGGCTGTCTGTTCGGTCAACGGCTTCTCGTCCTAGGTGTTGTATATGGCTCCGCAATTGATGAGAATGTCCAGCTTCTCACCAGCAAACCCCTTGGCAGCGGGGTTGATGGACTCCTCATTGGCATAATCCAGCTCGATGCTTTGCACCCCGGTTCCCTCGAGCTGTCTCAGTGTCAGGATCAAAAACAGCAAGGCTGTCGCTTGAGGGCGGCCCCACCTCACCTCAGCAACCGAGACATCGTCTTTTGTCTGTGGGCGGTATGTTCCAAAGACTTTGTAGCCTTCCTTTAAGAACCTGGTGGCCAGCTGAAAGCCGATGCCTCCATTGGCGCCTGCTGTACTGTCAATCCAAGTGACTCAGAAAGATGTGTGACACGTATCATCTTACCAATGTCTAGGACTGTTCTGTAGACATGTTGGTTCTGCAATTGCTGAGGAGAGAAGATGGGGAATGAGATGTTGCAAGTCGACCGACAACCCCGCATCAGGGAGGGCAACACTCGGCTGAGGTGAGGTTATATGTCAGCCGGGTCCCGGAGATTATTTCATCGTATCACATCCCTTTTCCTGGATCCAATATCCAGAGAGAGAGGGGACAAAGTCAGACAAGGGCAGAGACGAGGGGTTCAACGCCGCCCTGTGTTAGCTCTGGGCTAGGAGATTAGATAAGATAAGATCATGGGTGAGAGACGTCATGTCATTTTATATGGCAAGAGCCAGGGTAACTTTTGCTGCAGGCGCTGCCTATTCTCCTGTTTCACAGACTGTGTGGGGTTGGAGAATGCTGTGCGTTTCACCTTTCATCTCTAAAATTATCTTCCATCACCCGGCCATCAACCGACCATCATGTCCCGACAGCCATCAACATCTAAGCCCGCCTTCCGGAAATGGATGGGTCATCCAAAGGGCTTTGTCGGTTCAGCGACTCCCTTTCGAGGGCCATTGAGAAGATGGCCTTGCACCATGGCCGCGGCTGACAAATGCTGCCCTTTGTGACCTTGTCAATGGAACAGGTTACACCCACGACTAAAAGCCCAAAATGTATCCTCAAGGATGGCTAACGAGGTCATCGGAATAGACACAGCATCTTCCTCACAACACCGAGAAAATCAAGGGAAAAAACCTACAGCTCGCCCAACATGGCTAACCAAAAGACGGAGGATATCAAGGATCTAAAAGCCTTCCGCTACATGCAGCGGCAGCGACAAGACTACTTCGACCAGTTCCGCAGAGGACTGAATTATGGTCAGCCCGGCAACGAGGCATTGATGAGAATGCAAGTCCCCAAGCCTGGGAAATGGAAGGGCTACCAAAACAAACACGCAAGGCACTTTGTCTACAAAATCCAGGAGGTGTGGGACGAGGCAGGTCCTGGACAGACCAGGCAGGCTGCCTTGGAGGCCAACGACAGACTAGCTGCGACTATGGCGGTTGCTGACTTCAGGCTGGTCAAGGTTCTTGGCTGGGGTGGTTTGGGCGTGGCCAGTATGTACGACGCCGTTGGCAAGGACAACAAAATGCTACGGGTCGTGTGCAAGATTGACATCTTTCCCCATTACCCGTGTATCCCCCGTGAGGTCAAGGCCCATCTCATGACCGCGGGCGCGAAACACGTCATGCAGCAGGTTATCCTGCAGGCTGAGGGGGGTATATCTGATGCCGCGATCAACAGACTGGGAAATATAGCGAGGCAGACAGCGGCTGGGGTGGATATGACTATGCCTACGTCTATTGATAATAGGGGGAGAAAACGCAAACGTGACCCCAAGCATGGCGATGGCAATGATGATTTCGAAGTGATTGAGGCGGTGCCAATTGGCGAGTTTGAGGAGCTGGATTTGAACGAAATCAAACACGACATGAAAGTAGACGCGAGAAAAGAGCTGGATACGAACCAGAGGGTGCTGTTTATTCAGTTTATGAATCGTGGCCGGTTGGACGATCATATCTGCCGGGCTGCCATGACCAGGAGGCCGTTCCCGACTCTGGTTTTGTGGCAAGTGTTTGATTGTTGTAAGTTTGCGAGCTGAAATATCCCCACTGACACTGACTTCTAGGATAGTATTTCGCGGTGTGATAGGGATGGCCTATCCTGAAGCCTTTATGCCTTGGGACGTCGACCCGAGCAAAGTACCGGTCCCCGAAGTATCTGAAACAGCAAGAGGTCTCAGACCACTCGAGCCCTACGATAACAGAGACACGATGGTCCATTATGACATCGACCCATTGAATAGTTAGAACGACCCTCCTCTACTTGTCACAATAGAATGTCTAACAAATGTCCATAGTCTTGGTTGATGAGTTCGATGCAAACGAGCACAACCTTGCTCCTTTGACTAAAGTAGGCTATCCCTCCCCTGGTGTTCTGGTATTCTGGGTGATGCTGATATCTTTTAGATTGCAGATTTGGGCCTGATCCACATCTACAACGGGAATACCAGCGCCTGGGACTACTGGAATTCGAGAGGCAGAGGCAAACAATCAGTTTACACACCTGTAGGGCCCCTTTGGACATGATCCACATGGCTTACTGCTGACAAGGAAAGGAACAATTCTCTGAAGAATGGGATTACATCAACGGAAACCCAAGAACGATCAAATCCGAGACGGCTGGAAATTTCAACTGGTGGACCAACCTGTATCAAATCGCACTTGTGAGTCCAACGGGAGATCATCACCAATGTAACTACCAGCTAACATTTTTCTACCGCAGGTAATCTGGCAAATGGTGTCCCTCTGTCACGCAGAACTTCCACCCTCGCCTGAAAAGATGACGATCAAAATGCTCGACGGCACCGAAACGACCGCATATGGCTTTGGTGGCTACATCCTCAACGACAAGAAGTTCAAGCACATCGACCGTGACCTCCGCGAGCTGATCAATCAGTGCATGCTTCATGTTCCCGCCATGCGCCCGACGATGGAGCAGCTTGAGAACCTTCTCCGAAGCAAGACGAACATCCAGGGCGTGGACCCGCAAAACCAGGAACAGGTGGAGGCGCAGAGATATTGTGAATGGCTGTTCAGGGAGACTCCGGCGCCCAAACCGGCGCAGCCAGTTGACCACAAACTACCGGCTGGGCTGAGGGGTTGGACGGTCAAGAATGTGGTGGAGGAGCAAAAGATTTGGTTGGAGACGCCCGAGGAGGCAGCGAGAAGGAAGGCGCTGAATAAGGCTGCACAGACGAGGCAGATGAACCCGGGGAGGATGCTGGCAAATAGGTTTGGGATTGTGAGGGAGGTGAGGAATTTATGGGGGGATTATTTCAAGAGGAAGTGAGGTTGTTGACGGACGGACAACTGGCGGATAAAGGAGGGGAACGCTCACCGAGGACATGATTCGGGTGCTTGGTGCTTGGTGTCTGCCGACCTTGTCATGTTCGGGACCGAAATGGGCACCGGAGCCTTATAAACAGCGGCCGTCCGGTATCTTTGCTGGCAGTTTGCTTCTTCCCGAGTCGCGAGGATTGACATGTCTTGGGCCCGCGGACGGATGCAGTCAGCTTTTCTTACCGTGGCGCTGGGTTGGAGTCAGAACTCAGAATACACGGAATGCTGACCATGGTACGCTCCGCCAGGGAGGGAGACACAGACGGATCGGCATTCCCCTCCACCGCTTTTGGACTCTCACTGTACGTTCAAAGGGGGTCTCACCAGTCGGCTGTTCATGAGAAACTAAACTTCTGACTAGAGTCTGGAGAAACCAAGATCTTGGCACCGTCGCACTTGGTGTTGCAGTCCGGACTAGGGGTCGGGGCAATCCCGTTGCATAGTCCGTTGTACAAAGCGTGCGGGCGGAGTGGGGCGGGGAAGCCCCGAAGTAAAAGGCTGCAGGTCCGGACTACCGTGAGGGTAGTGATTTGCAGCAGGCCCGGTACTTTTTTGGTTTGATAACTCCGGCGTTTTTGTAAGAGTAAGGGGAGGAGGTTGTACGTGAGTCAAGGGATGTCCATGTACATGGTGAATTGAAATAAAGGCAGTGCCCGGCTTTGGTTTTTTGGTTTCTTGGTTCTCGTTGTCTTTTTATTGTTTTTTCTTTGACCATTAACCACACCCTTTCTCCCTTTGAGCCAGTCTTATCACTTACAGCACCCTACTGTCCCTTATCACCGCTACCACCATGGTCCTCGCCGTCCCCACCGCCAGCCTCGAAGGCAAGGTCGCCCTCGTCACCGGTGCCGGCCGCGGCATCGGCCGCGGCGTCGCCCTCGAGCTCGGCAAGCGCGGCGCCTCTGTTGTGGTCAACTACGTCTCCTCGGCCGGCCCGGCCAGCGAGGTGGTCAAGGAGATCGAGAGCTACAAGAACGGCGCCAAGGCCATCGCCATCCAGGCCGACGTGTCCAAAGTCAGCGAGATCAACCGCCTGTTCTCGGAAGCCAAGAAGCACTTTGGCAAGATCGACATTGTCATGTCCAACTCTGGGACTGAATCCTGGGACAAGACGGAGGAGGTGACCGAGGAGAAGTACGACCACGTCTTTAATCTTAATGCGCGCGCGCAGTTCTTTGTCGGGCAGGCGGCGTACAAGCATCTGGAGCGGAACGGGCGGTTGATTCTCATGACAAGCATTGCGGCTGGGTTGTTGGGGGTGAAGGATCATGCGCTGTATAATGCTAGCAAGATGGCGGTTATTGGGATGGTGAAGAGTTTCGCGACGGACTTTGGGGTGAAGGGGATCACGGTTAATGGGGTTGCGCCGGGGGGGATCAAGAGTGATATGTTTACTGAGAATGCGTGGCATTATATTCCCGGGGGGAGCCCGGATTGGGGGAAGGAGAAGATTGAGGGGTTGATGGCTGCTCATTGCCCGCTTGGACGGTGCGCGGTGCCGGAGGATGTGGCGAGGGTGGTGGCTTTTTTGAGTAGTGAGGATGGCGGGTGGGTGAATGGGCAGATTTTGACTATTAGTGGGGGGAGTTCGCAGTAGAGGGGTGGTTGATGGTGGTTGGTAGAGATGAGGGTTTGGTAGACGTGAATTGAGATTTCTTTTGACTCTTGAGATCCACAAAAATCGCTTTGTCGATCCATTTCTCGTTCTCTCTGTTGATGTAGAACTTGGACGGTAGAGGGTTGGCTTCCAAACCCCGAGATACGGCGCAACTTCAGTTTATACATTCTTTATTAGTTACAGTTTTTTCGTCATCAGTAGCTGTCTTGTCATTTTGTTTGCGTTTTGGCGTACGAGCGGCATTGGTATCGGCCGGTCGTAGCTACCACCAATCCCTCGAGGGACTCGTAGAAGGGCTTGTCGCGCTTAAAAATGGGGAGTTTGAGGTGAACAATCAGGAGCCCGAGAAGAAATTGAAGGAGCAGGAAGGGCAGACCGGGCAGCCTGGACATCTTGGCGGCCGAGAATTGAGGACCTGGTCATGGTGAGGGGAGTATGATGGTGGAAGCAAAAGGACATCCTTCCCACAGGGAAGGTAAGGTAGTATATATCTTATAAGGGATAGTTTGGTATGCTATCCTGTGTTAATCTACTTTGTAGTTCTAGTCATCTCTGCTATGGCGTGTCCGGACCGGCTGCATACCTCGATAGTAAGACGATAAGGAGGTCTCCTCAAGCTGATCGGTGCCAAGAGCGTCAACCAGCATGATGGACTAGATTCGTCTGATCTGGAGCTAGAGCCATCGATTCGTCTGATCTCGAGGCCCCCTTCCTTCCTCTGGGGAAACTATGAAGTCTTACACTGCTGGTTGCGTGATCTCTCTCGAAGGCCCAGGACACATCCATCAGTACGCTTCTTCCCTCCGTCATATTCGTTCCTTTCGTCCCAAGTCACCAAGTCACACCGCCCCTGACTGGATTTCTACGCAAGCATTGGCAGCCGAGTGAAGAGATTTCAACCTTTGATTGCGATATTGCTTCCCTACGTCACTGCCTCATTCCATTCACTTGACAATAGTCACCAGAGTGGGTCCTGGCTACGGTTCTGCTCCCTGAGAGGTCTATAAATTCTTCCTCCTTTTCACAGCTTTCTTCCGTTCAACCTTTCACCAAACCCTCCTCACATCCTTTGCCTTCTCAAAGCTCTTCGGCTTCCCTCTGCACTCGCGAGTTGTCTCTTCTACTCTCTTTCTTTCGTCTACATCCACAGTCTACCTATCTCTACTCCTCATCATGCCTTTGAGCAAGACAATCCCCCTGGATGAGTACCTCGAGGCTCACAAAGAGAATCTCAACCGCGAGAGCGAGCCTCGCCCGATTGCCCAGCCCACCGGCTCCTACGCCATGCCTCTCCGCCCCCTCTTCGACATGGATGAGGAGATGACTGAGGAAGAGGCGCGCTTCTTTAACCGTCGCTATCAGACCTTTGTCGATAATGCGAACACGTTCATTGTAAGACGATTCACTCATCTGTTCCGTCTGGTTTCACTCCAATACTAACTAACCATCCCCGATTTCCAGACCAATCAATGCCAGACCCCCGAAGACGCCATCCAGTTCCTCGTCCGCCGTATCGCCCGCCAGGATGCCGCCGTCGACCGCCTGGAGCGCAAGTTCACCAAGTCAGTCGCTGCTGCTGTGGAGCAAGAGATTGATATCTTCCTCGGCAATAAGCCCACTCTCGAGCGCATTCGTGGCATTAACCGTCGGTTAAATCAGATGCAGCTCGAGCTCAAGACTTTTAAGGATGAGGTCAAGGCTCATCCTGAGTTCAGCGGCAGTCCGGAGGATGTCAAGGCTCGGAAGGCGGCCATGGCTGCTGCTGCCGGCGTGGCTAACCAGAGCAAGAAGCGGAAGAAGGTTGCGGGAACGGCTGTGCCTGTCGGGAATGGTGCTGGACAGGGGCCTGATGGGTTGGATATGATTTATGAATCCGTAAGTCTCTTCGCGCTCTTTGCAATTTGTTCAAACACTAACGTGGCGACTATTTACAGTTGAACAACATCGTCTCCCACATGCGAGATCTCCGCAGCAACTCGAGCCTTGTCACCGCTTCTGATGAGGAGCAGTGTCTCCCTCAGTTGGGCCAGTTGCAGTTGACTACTCCCACCAAAGCTGAGGATATCAAGAAGGAGGATGATGCCCGTGCGAAGCTGGACGGCGCGGGTGACGACGCCGAGATGGCGGATGATGAGGCTAGCCAGATGACTGCTACTTCGCCGCTTGCCGTCCCCACTTCCGCGGCCAACACCCCCACGCGTAGGTTGGGCAGCGGGATTGCTTATTGCTTGCCTGTTAGGACTGTTGAGTAGCATGAATATCCTGCTGATAAGGCTGAGTAAACGGCATGCTTCGTTGGTTTTTCTAGTCGGCGTTGTTTGATGGGTTTGGTGGGGAGGATACATGGGATATGGGATAGGATGGAATGATACCCCGGGATAACCGTGCATGGGAGGCGTTTGGGGATATCATCAGGGATTTATTATTTCGCGCTGCTTTTTTACTTTTCGTATCGCTTTGAAAAGGGAAGGTATCACAGGCAGCTATTTAGGGCGTACAGAGACCAATGAGATTGCGTTGATTTACATTATTTGGTGCGACTGCCTTTGTGATTTGCAGCTTGTGAACTGATTCGTGACCTCATCTGCACTGAAGAGACACGTGGGAGATGCGCCAACGTGTGTCGTCAGCCTCAGAGGCCTCATTCCAAGGTGAAACCAGTTCTTGAACTTCATGATGTAGCCACACGATATCGACAAGTGCCTTGACACGCTCCACGATATGATCTCGGTTGGCGCGGGCCCCGCGAGCTGTATCATCATTGCGTCTCACATCAGTCGCAGCTGGAGCGGTTGGCTCAGAAGATCATGGTGGGCCGCCCGGCGACTGCAAATGAAGACAAGGCTCCCAAGGAAGGCATGCCTCGTTGGCTCCGTAACCGATGCCCCAATCAAGTTGGAAAAGTCCTAGTCTTTCAGGAAGCGAGTCGAGAATCTGAAATACTCTCTTGACAGGGACGGTGTTGACGGGCCCCATTCCTTCTTCTAGTAGCGCCCAGCAAGCAACGTGCATGGCAAATCCGTACCTGCCCTGGATGGGATCCTTCCGTTCTAGCAAAACTTCGTCGGCTCTAGGCTTGTCCTATCCGTCGTCATCGTATCGAGCATTGAAATCCACCGGAGCGATGAAGTCCTCGGATTCGTCGTAGATGCCAACCCCAGTTACCGTGACTTGGCCATTGTTGAGATCTTTCCATACTGGATACACAAGCACGATGTCAGCTATCAGTCTTTGTCCATTAATAGCGGCTCGTACCACCACGGAACTCATTCTGCCAAGATGGCTGGTTTCGTTCAACGTAGGTACGCTAACCACAAATGGGGCATCCCCACCATCCTGGACTCATGTTGTCGAAGGCCTCAAAAGATAGTCGAAAGACCTTTGGAGATGGCTTAAATGCCTTCAAATAAAATAAATAGGCGTTAAATATGTATGATAGGCCTTTGAGGATAGTCGGAAGGCCTTAGTAGATGTTTTAGAGGCGTGTTAACTATCTTTGAAGGCCTTAATAAGATGGTTGATATGCCTGGAAAGATAGTAAATAGGCGTTAAATATCGACAATAGGCCTTGTTAGATGGCTAAGAGGTGTGTGAACTATCTTCGAAGGCCTTACTATTTGATCGCGGTCTCTTGTTTTGTATCCAAAGCGTGAGTGTGCGATGTTAAGTAGGCGGGAAGCAAGCCTTTTTCTACTAGGGGCAAAGAAAGGTTTGGAGCACTGGGCAGCCACTTGAGTCACCAGTTGTGTGGCAAGGCGCCGCCATTTCCCACACTTTTCGTGTTAAATGGAGGTGCGAGTGGAACTTGATCAAGTTTGCAAAACCTTCACCTACATTCAGTTCACCGGAACGGAACTCTGTTTATTGCCAAGAAGGGCTGGGATTTGAAAGGGGAAGAAACATCGGCTAGATTCTCACGAAAGGGGCTGAAAGTAACCATAACGAGCGCAGGAAACACTACAAGCTCGGCTGAAGAAGATCATAACTGAAACTGAAGGCGACATCCCGCTGTCGGTTCGTCCGGTGCTCAGTCCACTTGTTCCAAATTTTTACCATCCACGACACGCACGGGCGATCAGTCTCAAAAGCTTACATATCAATCCGGCCTGGATATTTGTAGATGGGTGGTGATGCAGCTCCCAAGTTGGAGAGCATTGACGGTTGTAGAGGGCCAGAAGAAAAGTGTTCAAAAAGGTCGAGGGTCTCAGCGCGGGTGTCACGTTCGGTTTGCTCCATGGCATCGACCCAGTCGTCGTAGAAGGACCGAACTCGTTGACGAGGGGGATTCCTTCCAGTCTGTCTAGGCGACTTTCGGGGATCACGTTGGATGCGGGGCCAGTTTTGAAAAACCAGGGGAGACGGCTGGCGATAAGATCAGCTTGAAGGTCCTTTCCCGACACTCGCCGGTCATTATGCACTTTGGTCGGGAAAATGAACCAATTAGAAGTGTCCTCAGAAAGGCTTGCAGCATACCGGTTCGTGAAACATCGCTATCTTGATGATTGGAGTGGCGGTAGAAACTGATCATCACTGTATGCAGCCGCTGATAGAAGCGAAGGTATAAAGGTCAACTGACCACAGTCCATTAATTATTCTCTGATGGATGTTGTGCCTTTTGCTCCTCCGTCTCTTTGTGCTCAGGCAAACATATCATCAACGTCTTCTCAGCGGCGTCAACCATGCTGGAGCAACTCAGTGGTTTGATGGAGGCAGCCCCGCCACTACCGGTCGTTGTGCTGGCTTGCCTCGGGGTTTACCTCAGTGGCGTGTCATTATACCGACTTTACCTTTCCCCGCTTTCCCGTTTTCCAGGCCCCAAACTTGCAGCACTCACGGGTTGGTACGAGTTTTACTACGACATCATTAAAGACGGCCAATTCTACTTGAAGGTACAGAAGCTGCATGAAAAATATGGTAACATCGCTCTGCCAACCCATCGGCCTGGACATAGACTAAGTCAGTTTCATTCCGTGTAGGCCCCATCATCAGGATCAACCCCTGGGAGCTCCATGCCAGCGACCCAGTGTTGTTTTCTCAGATCTACTCATCTGGTGTCAAGCATCGTATCGAGAAATATGCCTGGTCTCAGCAAGGGCTGCGTCTGATTGACAACTCCCACATTCTGACCGAGTCGCATGAGCTACACAAACTGCGACGAAAGCCTCTTGCGACATTCTTCTGTTCAAGAAACACCGATAATATGGAGCCGATTATATGGCAGATCTCACGGCGAATACGATCGAGACTCCAGAAGCTTAACCGATCAGGTTCGGTGGTCAAGATGGAAGACCTGTTTACGGTCGTATCCGCTGATCTGGTGACCGCTTTCAGTTTTGATGATGCGGTAGATTTGACGGAGACTGATGAACTACAACTTCCGGGCTCAATGTAGGCTTCTGTATCATCAGGCAAGATCAAGATTGGACCGCTGACCTCTGCAGCTACTCAGCCCTCCAAACAGTGGCTCGGGTTTCGGCTTGGTTGAATCATTTCTCCTGGGTTACGGGTCTAATCAACGCCATCCCCCCAACTCTCCTCTTGCGGCTGGCCCCGACGGTGGCAACGAATAATCGCTTGTATTTGGTGAGTTGTCATCCCCAACCCTCAGCTTCTTCCATGATGGCTAACCATTCTTCTCCCTCTAGCTCGTTAAAAAGCAATTTGACTCCTCCCGTGCCGCGCGCATCTCGACGTCCAAGACCACTGTCACCATCTCAGACGACGAATTGACAGACGAACTTCTCAGTCCCGACACCAAGCTCATTGCCCATCTTCTGAATAGCAACCTACCCCCACACGAAAGGACTCCCGAGAGGGTCTGCGCGGAGCTACTCACAATATTCATGGCGACCATCTTCAACATACCACGGGTAATGATGGTGACTACATATCATATTTTGGCCAATCCAGACATCAAGGAGAAGCTCCGCTCTGAATTGGTTGACCTTCTCGGACCCGATATGGACTCAAAGCAGGAGACGCCGGTTTGGATAAAGCTCAACAAAGCAGAGTATCTCAAGGCTTGTGTCAAAGAAGGACTTCGGTAAGTTTGGTCAACTGTCCCTCTACCTTGTGAAAAGTGCTAAGCTCATAGATATAGCCTCTTCTTCGGAGCCCTGCGCGGGTCAGCCAGACGAAACCTAGACGCCCCGATCGTATACAAAGACTGGGTTATCCTCCCCGGTACACCAGTGGGCATGTCTGCCTGGATGTTGAACACCGATCCTGAGGTCTATCCTGATCCTCTCGCCTTCCGCCCAGAGCGGTGGTTACCAGGGAATCACAAGCCGGAAATGGACAGGAATTTTGCAAGCTTGGGTAGGGGTTCCAGGACATGTTTGGGGATTCATCTGGTTTATGTCTTCATGAGACATCTCCTGGTTGCAATGTTCGGACCGGGGGATCGGCCGGAACTGACGTTGTATGAGACGGAGGAGTCGGATGTTGCCACGACAGTCTCTGGGCTTTCGGGGTTGGCGAAGAGGGGGGCTAGGGGGTTGAGGGTGGTTGTGGAGTGGATGAGTGCTTGTTAATGACTGATGTTGAAGGATAAGTAGCTGGCGTTGGATTCCTTTGTGTAGGCCCTGGAAGGCTTTCAGAACACACTGTTCTTGATTCAGATGGGTGGATAGCCTCATCCAGCTCTGGCCCATTGCGTCACTTTCTAGGTTGCAACCCCCCCACGTGGGATTTCATGCTTCACAGAAACGAAAAGACTTTTTCCCAGGTTCCCGGGTCCTTGATCAGCGCGTTACCCGAGGGCATTCCAAGCTTGTCACCACCATGCCGTTCACCACCCCCACCAACCCGCCTTCTCAATACCACCTGGAGTGCAGAATCGGGACTTGATGTTCCTTTGTTATGCATCTCTGACCACAATTACGGTGTTCGTCTGATGGTGATTGGCCAGTCTCCCTATCAAAAAAATGGTGGAGTTGTCTTGGCGTGGCCATCAAGGTGCCCCATGGTGAATCCCCAACCCTGCCAGACATCAAGGTTCTCAGGAACCAACATTGACATCAAGGTTCTCAGCTGTCATACATCCAGCCCCTCAAAGAAAAGAAAATGCACAGAGTCCCAATCCAGTGGCACAAGTATTAATACCCCCTTCCCCCCCCCCTTCTGCGTGCCATTCGAAGATCACACTGCCATCATCCTGCATTCCTCGCCCAGGCATCTTCCCATCCCCCCGCATCCAGCCAAAAACAAAATGCGCTCCTCCACTCTCCTCAGCCTCCTCACCGCAGCCGCCGCCGTGTCAGCCTCCCCCTTGGGCCGCCAGGAGATCACCACCACCACCACCACCATCATCTCCAACACCGGCTCCTCCTCCACCACCCCCGCCTTCCCAATCCATTCAAGCTGCAACTCCACCCTCTCCCACCAGCTCACCCGCGCCTTTGACGAGACCGTCACCCTCGCCTCCGTCGCCCGCGATCATCTCCTCGAGCACGGGCAGTCATCCCCCTTTGTCAAGAAGTACTTCGGGCCCAACTCCACCACCATCGCCCCCCTAGGGGTCTTCTCCCGCGTCGCCTCCGCCGCGAGAGGGAAAATGCTCTTCCGCTGCGACGACCCAGACCGGAATTGCGCCACCCAAGAAGGCTGGGCCGGCCACTGGCGCGGTTCCAACGCTACGCAAGAAACCGTCATCTGCGACTTGTCTTTTGCCCCGGGGAAGAGAAGGTGGCTGGATCAGGTCTGCGGGTTGGGGTACACCGTCAAGGAGGGGGCCACCAACCTGTTCTGGGCTACCGATTTGCTTCACCGGACTTTTCACGTCCCTCAGGTGAGCGAGAATGCGGTGCACCATTATGCTGATGGGTGGGATGAGGTTTTGGGCATGGCCGAGGGGGGGGATGAGAGGAGCGGGTTTGATAGTGATGCGTTGATTTATTTTGCGGTTGATGTTTATGCGTATGAGGTTGCTGAGCCGGGGAGGGGGTGTGGGGGGTATGAGAGGGGGAATTGACTGAGTGGTGATGGATAGATTGGGAGGGGGGAAATGGTTTTGAGGGAAAGGGGGTTGGATAGGTACATAGAAAGGTTGGTTGATACCAATAAAGTAATGTTTTCACAGTGTTTGGACGTGTCATTCAGGTCTGGTTAGTTTGTTGGGTGAACTTTTTATGTGATAGGTAGTTTTTTGTTTTCCTGGGCTATCCCATCTTCTCATGGATCGCCAGTAGGGATCCCCGATCCCCAGCTTCCCCGTGGATCATCTACGGCTGTCGAGGATGTGTTCTCTGGTTGACTGCTTCAGGTTCTCGAGGCTGCTTGACATCGTGCCTGTAGGTAGCTTCCAGCCCACCCACACCCTCGGATACTATGACCCCCTCATGAACCCAAGCTATGACCCCAGGCCATGAATTCGGCATTCTGCAACATTGTGGCCCTGGCCCTAACATCAGCCAGATGTTCCCTGCATGCCTCATACTCATGGAGACAACTATTCAGAGCTGCATGGTGCTCGAATAAATCCCGAAGTTCCTCATCAATGAACTCAACAACCTGAGACGACAGCGAATCGCAGCTGGTGGACGTTTCGTGTCCTGAAGGCGGGCGATGCTCTCGTTGATGGCTTGGACATTTTGCAACCGGGCATAACCGACCGCAAGTCGGGAGTGGAACGCTCGCTGGCTGGAGGCCAAAGCCTTTTCCGCCGCGTTCAGCCTGGCAGTCGCCTCAGCCTCCAACTCTGGAAGGGCCTCAGCGTTATGCTTTGTTGCAGCAGGAAAAGTGGCAGAAAGCTGGTTGTCATTGGTGTTGTCGGATGCGGTGTCCTCCGAGTCAGGCAGATTGATCCCCACGCTTTCCAACTCCAAACGCTTGATGAGCTTGTCCTGTCTTCTCATCAAGTCTCTCAATCATTCAGCTTCTTCATCCTTCTTGCATGCGGTCTTCGCCTTGTCGTTGACATCGAGGGTCGGTGAGGGATCACTATCGGCAATCTAAAAGTCCCGTTGGCAAAAGTGAACAAAAGTAAACAAAGCTGAGCAAGTCGACCAGGAGAGAAATGCACAGTGCTGTATCTAGAGTACCGCCTCGTCCGAATGACCTGTATCTATTTGTGTATGTGGAAAGAATAGGGGAACACCGACGACGATGACGTGATATCGGGAACCTACAGTTGCAGCTGTGGGCGACATCGTGGCGCTTGGGTGAATGGGATGAGGGTTGAGTTCAGGTTTGAGTCCTGCCGGAAACGCCTGTCAGTGGTTCAGCTGCGATGATGAAATCAGCAGATGACGACGGTGAAGACTGGACAGGAATTGGGGTGACGATGATGGGGTACTTGTGGAGTCCTGGTGTTGCGCGTGTCGATGAAAAGCAGCAGAGGGCGAACGTATTGTTCGGATATCTCTTGGTTTTCTCTTTTGTGGGAAGCGGGGGAGATCCCAAGTAGGAGGAGTGACAATGCTAATCAACAAGTGAATAGGATTCTAGAGCAATGTGTGTGCAGTCTTGAGGCAGGGCAAAATAAGTGGGTTAGATCAATGGACCAATCGTGCCCTTCCAGCACAGGGCTGGCTGGGAATCTCCCTCGTCACACTAAGCTAGGCGTGGGCGATGCCTTTGGGCACCCTTTTTAATTCTATATAATTGTGTATTATCCAGAGGAATGAAAGCGTCTGGAGTTCGGGATGCTTGGCTGCCGGAGTGCGAAATGAGCTAATGGCGGACCGCACACATGGCCATCAGGCAGGGAATAACCATAGAGCTCAATCTTTGGGCAAATAAGGGCCTTGATGCAGGATGAGGAAAACAGACGCAAGGCGGTCTGGGCCAATGGTAACTCAATTTATTGGCAGTATTCATGATGAAGGTGGACGGCCATGAAGATAGAAAGCGACAAATTGCCTTCAAATCGATCCATCATGTGTCGGCAACTTTGTGGTCGATGATGGTCTCAATGAACATCATGAGGCCCTGGTTGACGGTTTTGGAAGTGAAATTGTTATGGGCTTGGCACCCCCTTTTGAGTTACCGTGACAACATAGATGTTATTTTGTAGGTTACCCCTGAACTGTGCCTCAGGAACCAACAAACGATCTACTTTCTCGACATCCACCTGACAAAAAATTCATGCCATGCCCCAAAAATTGATATACACCAGCATTCCAGTCTCTCTACCACGGCCTTGGTTCCTTTGGGCGCGGAATCATGTGGTACAGCTTGTTGATTCTGCTCTGGAAGGTCGATCCACCCTTGTCAATCCTCTTTATTATTGTCGCCGTGTCGGATTGCTGTTTCTTGCTCAAGCTCTGAACCTTTGCTTTCAGCGAATTGATCTCAGCTTTCTGGCGTTAGATCTCGGCTCTCTGTCGTTCGACCTCGGCTTTCTGGCGTTCGGTCTCCAGAGAAAAAGCATCGAGACGGCGCTCCGTCTTTGACTTTCTGGGCTGTCCGTTGAGGTTAGAAGTGCTCATACATGAAAGTTTGCTGGCTATTCATACTGGAATGGGGACAGGCTTCTTGTCACCCCGTTGTACCTGACGGGCAAGCCTTTCTGCTTTGTGTTGTGCCTTTTTTTCTCACCCTCCACGCCTATCGCTTCTTCTCGGTCTTGTGCTTGGTAGTCATTCTGGGTGTGGGTGGATGGCGAGGTGAGTGTTGGTGAGACGATGTGATAGATTGGAGTTGGTTGTTTGTTGTTTTGAGGAAGGTCAGAAGAAGAGAGCCGTAGTTGGATACCTCCCAAAGGGTAGATTTCTATCGGCTTATCTGGAGGCCCTTCCACCGACTTTTCTTCTCAGGCACAGTGCTCCTACCAAAGGTTCCGCTTCTCTCCAAAGAGTCCGTAGCCTTCCAGGATTCCGTACCCTTCTAAGATCACGCGTCATGCTCTAGCCTTCGAGGAACAACTTCAATAGCCAGGTGCCTGGATTCTGGTCGTCTGATTTGCAGAGTTAAGTTGCTCTTTCCCTGAGGACGTAGGCCCTCCGCCAAATCGTCTGGTCATACATCTTTTAGAGGGAAGGAGCAACCTCCCGATGGAAGGTGCTAGGCCGACCGCTTTGATTTTGCTGGTCCTTGCTGATTCTGCAATCTGTAGGTGCCCCGCTTTCCCTGGGTATTTAATTTCTTCCAACTTCCCACTGCTCTCCCATCTTCTTCTTCTTCTCTGTGCGCCTCGCAACACAGTTTCGGTTTTGCAACTTTGTCGTCTGCCGGCTCCGATTCCGTTTGTAAGTCACTTCATCACCAATTCCTCTGCGTTTTCAAGCGACTGGATCACCAATTGTCACACGGCAAAGGACCAACCACCTTAGGCCATGACCAACAATACTACCAACACCACTGGAAGTGAGGGGCATCTGCAGGCTATGATCCAGTCGTTAGGAAGTGAGGCAAACGGAACAAAGGATGGGCGGTTCAGAAGTTGTACTATTGGCTGGAGCAAATAGATTGGTATGCACGGACACCATGGGCACCTTGGCGACAGCCTTAGGCAGCTAGTGGCGCGGACCACTTTATGAGAGATAAGATACCCGCTCGCTAGACAGCCAGATGAAGGGGTCATCAAGGATCTTGAGGCCACTGAAGATTATTAGCTGAATTGAACCACTGTTCCAAGCCCTGACACTACAGCCCCTTGTCACACCAATTGTTTGGGGTTTTCAAGCGACTCGACCGCTAACTTCTCCGCTTTTGCAAGCGACGCCAAAAAACCCGAGCTTTTTGAGGATGGCGCGTGAGGGCCATAACGAACGCCGCGACCAAGTTTGTGGTGGCGTTGATAGGTACCAACAATGTAAGTACCCGACCCCCTACACCTTTCGTCATCGGTATGCCCAGCCCCAGGCTGCCTCTCCTGCACATATGCTCCTCCTCTTGTTTTCGTCTCACCGCACTTGGATCTGGCACGGGACTGCCAACACTGATAGCCAGACTCATCCCTTGATTCGATGTGATCGCCGGTCAATACTGAGTCTGATGTTCTCGTGTGTCTGTTGTTGGTAACCACCACCGCTCAATTGTGTAGACGCCTCTTTAACTTGGTCAACCACGTTTGGCATTGTGATTGACCGAGCATTCGTTGGTCTCCAGCGGAACCTCTGAGGACTCAGGGACCAGTATGCGAGAGTTTTGAAAGGGAGCCCTAATATAATATCCTGGGCCTGCGAAGGTCATGTGGTGGAGTGGGGTTCCGGTTCATGTGGCGCGGTGATCGAGAACTTGAGGCATTTCTGGTGGTCGACTTACTCAACTTTTTTTTTCTGTGCCTTGCTGACTGGACTTAGGGTGCTTCCTCCGATGCCGCTGCCGACAGCGCCGCAAAAACTCTGCCGAGGAGGGTACGATGTCCGTTGACACCGAAGACAAGGTATGCAATGTCCCGTATTTCTTCATGTCATTTTACACATCTAACATCAGTTAGTGTGCCGAATCCACTCGCCCCTTTGCCGCCGAGTCCCTCCCCGCCGATCATCCCGATCACAATGATGCCTCTTCCGACAGCGCCGAGGATGTTCTCGAGCTTGTGTCCAACACCCTGGATATCGGCGACAAACCTTCCCCCGAGTTGATCAAGAGGTACCAGTCATACATGGGTTACAATGTCGACCGCATGTGCGATGCTGTTCTGGACCCCCAGAACACCATAGGCATGAAAACCTTTGCTGCTGGGGCTGGCCTGTCTCTGATGGGGCAGAAGATGGAGGAAATCTCAACCTCACACGAACTACTCCACGTTCGTCAATGACTTGGGACTCCTGCGTCTGGAGCAAAAGGGAGACGTGGAAGAACTGAAGACTGAGAAGGACATGACCTCCGTGTCGGCGAAGTTCTTGCGGGACGGTGTTGAGAAGGTGGAAGAAAAGCTTGAGGAGTTTGGTCTTTACTGGCGATAGCGACAGGATGGACTTTTCGTCCGCTTGCGACGGGAACGGGGCTGCCGAGGGCCTTAGGGCCAGAGTCATTGGCTCGAAGGCGAGGCGGCCGCCTAAACCAAGCGTCTTACTAGGATGG